ACGTCCAAATTTTCTAAAGCAGCGGGTTCATGCACAATATTAGTGGAGGAAAACATACAATTATGATTTTCCTTTTTCCTCCAAACTAACCTGATTTTCAATAAAGAACAAAAAGAAAATAGTTCAGATAAGCGTTTTACCTCTTTCATAAGATTTGTAATCTTATGTTCAATACTTAACTTTCTCCCATGACATGTGAATTTGAACTTACAAATTTCTTTCGAAGTTTATTGCATCTTGTTCTTATGTGGCCATGATTGTAAAAAAAGAAGACAAATTTGAATGAATTTCTTGAATTCATGAGTGGATATAAGTTTAGCATGTTCAACTGGAAGAGAGGATTTGACAAACTTCGTTGCAGAAACCGCGAAAGACTTATTGCTTGGTGCAAATTCCAAACCTCATTTGTCACCATCTCTTCTTCCCATGCTAATCATCTTGTCAGTTTTTTTTTCTACACTAGTGGTTAAAGAAACAATCCTTTCCTTTGAATTTTTAAGTTCAAGTTTAAGGGCTTTGTTGTCAGAAATTAGAGATGCAATTAATTTATTATGATTAGTCAACTTTTTCTGCAAAAACATCAATTTTTCGTTCATACATTCACTTATATTTTCAGCATATGTGTCAAGGGATTGAACCTCGTTTGCAATCCTGCTATTTTCCAACTACAATGCAACAATAGATTTGACAAGCTCACCATTTTTTATTATTGAGATTTTGTGAGGCAACCAACAAATCATCATATTTCTTCCTGATAAACTCAATATGCATTTCTTCACAATCATCATCCTTTTTCGTTGGTTCATCCAAGCTTATAGTCTTAATAAGTACAATGGCATTCTCATCATTTTCAAAGTCAAAATCGCTATCACTCAATGTAGTATTTAGTGCCTTATTCTTGTCATCCTTTTGTTTCTTTAAGGTGTTGACGCATTCCGAAGATATGTGACCATAGCCTTCACATTCTAAGCATTTGACATTTTCTTTTCAGTTCTTTCGTTCATTTGACCTATGAGATTTAGACACACCATCAATAGAGTCAATAAACTTATTTTTTTGAATTTATATCTGAGATATTCTTTGAATCTCGATTCCTTGAGTCTTGATTCTTGAGAAAGTTCATGAATTGTCTTGTGAGAATCGTCAATTCCTTATCATTGCAATCCTCATTTGAATGCCCATCATGTTCTTCATTCACAACTTTGAAAGCAACACTTTTGCTCTTTTTAAGAGCTAGATATTTCATCTCATAAGGTTGTAAGGACCTTATTAGTTCCTGAACTTTCAAGGTGTTCAAGTCACGAATCTCTTCAATGGCCGTGATCTTTGGTTGAAACGTTGAGGCAAGGATCTCAAAATCTTTTTCACAACCCTATCTTATGGAGTTTTTTTTACCTAAACTTGAACATGCATTCACAATGACACAAATTTTAGCATAAAATTAAGAAAAAGTTTCATTCTCATCCATTATGAGTGTCTCAAATTGTAAGGTGTGCATTTGAAGCTTGGTGACCTTTACAGTATATGTTCATTAGAAGTATCACAACCAGATACATATTCAAATTGATCAGAAGAGATAGCAATAAATAAAGTATTTAACCCATTTTGGTTATTAGTACTGTGTGTGACTTATGCAGTGGTCCATTCCTCTCTAGTTTTAAGGACTATGTTTTCTTCCTCTTCTTTTTTGATTTTCTTTTGTAGGTTTAGAAAATTCATGAACCACTATATACCATATACGTTCCTCTATAGACCAAAGGAATGACTTCATTTTAGCCTTCCAAGCACCATAGTTGTTGCCATCGAAATATGGTGGATGTACAATTGAGCCCGCAGCACGATCCATCCTAAGGTATGTTTGATCTTTCTAAGTGTGTTCGGCGACCTGCTCTGATGCCAATTGCAATTACTTGTAGGATGACTAATAATGCCTAAATGGGGGGTGAATATGCCAATTTAAAATTATAATCAATAAATAAAATAAACTTCGTTGCAGAATTGATATGACTTATCAATCCTGAAACATGTAGAGCATAAATAAAGGAAGATGCATAGAGTTATTTTACTTGGTAAAACTTCACCTTGAGGAAAATTCACAGGACTCCTCAGTCCAAAACAAATCCATTATTGAACGATGATTACAAGAAGTACTCACACACTTATCCTAGACACATTCTAGATAATGTTTACCGACTTCTTCGTAAATAAACTTTTGTTGCGGGATGACCTTCCGACTCTCCTTATGTGAACTCTATACTGGTCATGATCGATTCAAGCTCATTGGAGAAAAACTGCCACCACGGTTTGGGTGCCCTTACTGTATAAGTCACCATACTATGCAAATAAATGTAATACGAATGATAAAGTGTTTGATAAATCACCAAGTAAACACGGAATTTATCTCAAATAAAAACGCAACTTTCTTAAACATTTAAGCACGCAAAACTATTGTTGAAAAAGATATCTAAAGGAAAACACAAAACCTTGTTTTTATAGAGGTTTTCTTCACAGGAAAAAACTTATGTATCGAATCTCCATTCTTCAAGGCTAGACAAAAATCACAATAGAATATTTCCTATTCTAAATGCAAGTCGCGTGTAAACCAAGCACTCATGAAAGGAGATGCTCAAGAAAGAAGATTTTGACCAATCATGATATCAAAGGAATCCTTCTATGTTTATGTAGACTATTAATAGCATCTTGACTCCTTGATGTTATGATATAATTGAAAAAATGATTTCTAAGCAACCAAAACATGTTAGAAAATAAAGAGGATGTTAAAACATGAAAGCAAGAGAATCAAATTGATTTGGGAAAAAAATTGTCTAAATGAGATGCACTCTTAAAGGGATTCTAATTGATTAAAAATCAAGAAAATAAAATCATTTCATACTCCACAAAAACATTCCTTTCTTGAGTGCATGAAAAATGACAAGTCTTACCCTTCAGATCATGTGTCTCATACGTATTAAGTCACAATATGGTGGATGTACAACTGAGCCCGCAGCACGATCCATCCTAAGGTATGTCGGATCTTGCTGAGCGTGTTCAGCAACCTGCTCGTATGCCAATTGCAATTACTTGTAGGATGTCTAATAATGCACATAGAGGGGGTGAATAGGCCAAATTAAAATTAAAATTAATAAATAAAAATAAACTTCATTGTAGGATTGATATGGCTTATCAATCCTGAAACGTGCAAATCATAAAATAAAGGAACGCATAGAGAGTTATTTTACTTGGTAAAACCCCACCTTTAGGGAAAATCCACAGGACTCCTCAGTCCAAAATAAATCCACTACAAAATGATAATTACAAGAAGTACTCACACACTTATTCTAGACACATTCTAGATAATGTTTACCGACTTCTTCGTAATTCAACTTTTATCGCGAGATGACCTTCCAACTCTCCTTATGTTGAACCCGATACTGGTCACAATCGATTCGAGCTCATCGGAGAAAAACGCCACCACTGTTTTGGTGCCCTCAATTATATGAGTCACTGAATTATGCAAATGAATGCAATATGAATAATGAAGTGTTTGATAAATCACCAAGTAAACATGGAACACTTGAGGATTTATCTCAAATAAAAAATGCAGCTTTCTTAAACGTTTAAGCACACAAAACTATTGTTGAAAAAGCTATCTAAAGGAAAACACAAAACCTTGTTTTTATAGAGGTTTTCTTCACAGGAAAAAACTTATGTATCGAATCTCCATTCTTCAAGGCTAGACAAAAATCACAATAGAATATTTCCTATTCTAAATGCAAATCATGTGTAAAGAAAGCACTCATGAAAGGAGATGCTCAAGAAAGAATATTTTGACCAATCACAATATCAAAGGAATCCTTCTATGTTCAGGTAAACTATTAATAGCATCTTGACTCCTTGATATTAGGATATAATTGAAAAAATGATTTCTAAGCAACCAAAACGTGTTAGAAAATTAAGGGGATGTACAACATGAAAGCAAGATAATCATGGGCAAAAATTGCCTAAATGAGATGCACTCCTAAAGGATTCTAATTGATTAAAAATCAAGAAAATAAAATCATATTAGACTACACAAAAACATTCCTTTCATGAGTGCATGAAAAATGACATGTCTTACCCTTCAGATCATGTGCCTCATACGTGTTAAGTCACAATACTGGTATTCAGAGATTACTAAGCTGTTTCAATCTTGTAGTTTCTGGAAATCTGAGACATCAATTTTGCTCTAACCCTATAGCTAAATGACACTTCCAAACCTATACTAAGTTCTAGGAAATGCAAACACAATTTCATGCTAATGCATGAGCCAATCCAATTTTCTTTTCATCTCTCAACCAAAAAAGGAGATGATTTTCAACAGTTGATTATCAACCATTTTGGAATAAACTACATACTTATTAAAGGTGGGAGTAGGGTCTTGTCTCTTAGCATAGGAGTGTATATAGACTGGCCCCCACACCCTTCAAATCCCCTTATCTAGTAATTTTCTTTTTGGCTCTAGATGCTAGAGGTAGGGTAGATTAATAATAATTTGAGTGACTATTCCATTATGCATGGTGGATTAACTTTTTGAAAGTTGTATGAGAATGTTATAATTAATTCAAAACTAATAAAGATATCACACCCCAAGCATACATTTGATGGGAATCAATGAAGGTCGGGAAGTAAGGGTGTGAATTAAAAGAATCTATACAAGATGTGGCAATAAAAGAATAAGACAAACTAAAGGGTCTTTAGATAAATAAAATTTTAACATATCCTAAGAAGATACTCTAAACTCAAAGCCCCTTTTTTTTACCCCGTTTGGATAATTAGCATCCCTAGGCCTATTTACATTATGGGCTTTCACTTCAAGCCTCTTTTTCAATCCTACTTCTATTTCCATGTGTGTGGCTTAAATTTATCTTTGAACAATTGTACCCTTGTACAAGTCTTAACTTAAAGCCCTTCACTCTCTTGGTCACAACCCCATTTCATAAACACTTGACAAACACTCTGCTATGAATGATCAAAGGGCTGGCACAAGCCAAGGAATACAAGATCATGATGATCATGGTGAAGATGAGCAAATCATCAGGGACATCCACGCCTTGACACCACCTCACGCACCGCCACAGCTGGCTAATCGCGGCCGAAGAAGGGAAGCTTGGGAGACTAGTAGCCATAGATCATCATCTTTGTCCATGGCTAGCTCAGAGGGTGCTCCAAGTGAGAATTTCAGTAGCATAAGTAGAGAGTTCAGTGCTCTAGTGGTTGCAGGATCAGCTATTGGGACTAATAATAGTACCAATGATAATGATAGTGCTACAAATCATGGGAACAATAACTTGGGCAGGATTGGAGAGGAGGACAATATGCCTGAGGAGGAACTTAACCCTTTGGCCATAGTACCAGATAATTACAACCCATCAGAGCCAATTGCTTCTCCAAGAGAAGCTGGGGCTAGGAATTATGCAGTTGGGTCTTCATCAAGCATTGCTGGGACTCAAGGTCATCAAGGAGGTGATCAGGTGGTTTCTGTGCATAGGGTGAAGAAAGAAGAGGTGGAGACGAAGATATCAGCTTGGCAAAACAACAAGATTGCCAAGCTTAATAACAGGTTTAAGAGGGAGGATGCTATCATTAATGGTTGGGAAAGTGAGCAGGTTCAGAAAGCTTCTTCTTGGATGAAGAAAGTTGAGGTATGTGGGCATAATTAATCTTGATGACAGTGCTATTATTGTTCTGCATGTGGGTTAATTATTTCCTAATTATCCATGTTGGAAATTTTGCTCATGATGGTTTCTCTGACTAGTTGAGATTAGGATGGTTTGCAACTTTCTTTTTCATTGATTGCATACTATTTGCCGTCCAATATTTTTTGAGCATGTTTTTGGTCAAACAAATAATCAGAATTTTGATGAAACTATTATCTCATCATAATGTTATGACATACTTTCTTTTGGTGAAACTATTATCTCATCAATTTTTGTGCTCGTCTAATTTGTGCAGAGGAAGTTGGAGGAGAAAAGAGCAAGGGCCCTGGAAAAGATGCAGAATGATATTGCCAAAGCTCATAGAAAAGCAGAGGAGAGGAAGGCATCAGCTGAGGCTAAAAGGGGAACAAAAGTGGCAAGAGTTCTTGAAATAGCCAATTTAATGAGAGCTGTTGGAAGAGCACCTGCAAAAAAGTCCTTCTTCTAAGCCTTAAATTACCATTTTCCATATGCCATACCCCCCAAAAAAAAAAACAAAAAAAAAAAAAAATTTAAATTAAATAGAAAAAAAAAAAATGTCCCCACTATAACAAGGCCTTTTCCTTTTGTATGAAGGCACCTCAATATGATGGAATTGGGCAATGAAGAGTGGCATTAAGAGAAAATATTAGGGATTTTGAGTGCTTGTGATTGATGGGTATTTTTGAGTGCTTTAAGTGTGCTGGAATTTTGGGATGGATCTGTTAGTTATAGTGGTGAAAGAACCTTCTGGATCTTGTACAGTTTTCTTATTCTTGGTCAGGAGTTAGTGTTTATTGTTGTAATACATATAATTTTCTAAGCATAATTTGGTGTATCTTCCACCTATGAAATGCAATGGTAATTTGTTTACTGTTTATTATTATTTGAAAGAAAAAATTGTATTTAAGAACCAACCAAAAGATGGTTGCATAACACATAATCAGATTAGTTTGAGTTGGCCTGACTAGCCTCTTACTTACCTAACCACAACAAATGAAAGAACTTATGTTAATAAAATGCCACACCAGATCTAAAAGCAGAAGATAAAGCAGACGTGGGTTAGGTAAGTTGTTAAGAGCAGTAAGCTCACTCCGTTATACTTAAATTCAAATCCTTCTCATAAATTAGATTAATTTAGAGTAATTTAGACTATTTAAAAAAAGAAAATACACAAAAGATTTTAACAGTATAAAGCATTTTGTGTTCAGTATGTGACAACAAACTTGGACCATTGAGTGTTGCCCAATGATTTAGCAATTATCAAAATGATATATCACCGACGTGTCACGACATTGGACATATTGTCACCTAAATGGTTGCTACATGCACTTAAAGTTATTAGTTGTTTAGTAAAAAAAAGGCCAAAAAGAAAGATCTCTCTTCGAGTTCGAACAAAGAAGATCTTCAATAAAATCTCCCTTTCAAAGTTGCTATGCATTGCAAATAGTTTCTTGGATGGCGTATCACTTTGCGACAAAATAATGAAACTTATTATCAACTTTCAAGCATTTAAAACATTTATAAGAATATGAAGTTCTACACTGGAAACTTGATAAAATAAAATACAACGTATAATAAGTGATTTCGCCACTAATAGTACCTACCGAATATGCATGTGGTTAAGTTGAGGACAATATAAATATTGGTAGTATTGAGTCAGGAGTTGGTCCCCCTAAAATCTTAAAACTAGCATTGAAACATTCCTCCTCTAGCAAAACTTTGTTGTGAGCTTCCCTTTCTTTCTTTCCACGAGTAATGGTTGTAACTTTTCTAACTTTTTACGTCTTACATTGTGTCCGTTTAAAGATGCAATTCTAGTGGTTCTCACTCTTTCCTTGAATTGATATAAAAGTTGTCATTCAAGCATATCTATTGGCAAATTATGCGTGCAGGCAACACTTGGCCATCATGATTCTTGACTAAATTGTTTCTTGTTAATTATTTTTGCTTTTTGCTTTTGGACCTAACCAATTTTTGGTCTGTCAATCAGATGAAAAGACAAATTGATATGTCAACAGTTGAAAGGAGAACAATCCAAGGTGCAAATTGCGTTTAAAAAACTGCAATTTTTTTGTGTCCTCTGAATCTAAACAGTTGCAGTATGATAAATGGAGGAGGTAAGTTCTTACATCATTCAATGTCTCAAATGTAGAAAATTAAATTTACACTACTTCTGCAAGTTCCTACATCCCAATTGTATTGTAAAAGATTAGGTAGAAGACAAACAGCAAGAACTAAACATGACCTACAACAATTTATGCACCTGTTCGGGGATAGTCATGAGAAGTCATCTCGGTATCTTTTCTGAAGGTCCGTCTTCGTGAGGCAATTCCTAAAGATAAGTGATGAAAATCTAGTCATGAAAGTAGGACTTGAAAGTGCGAATAAAGAAGAGTACCTACCCAATTTTCAGTGAAGCTCTCCCGAATTTGATCGTTATATTCAGTACGAAGAACAGAAATTCTTATCAAGCAAGAAACAACAAAGCACAAAAAGAACAAAATCTGCAACATTATGTAGTGCCAGATGCTCTAGAAGACAAAATCATGTCGGCAACAACCTATGTAGCAAGCAATCATTAACAGATTTTCCACTAAGAAGAGAGAAAAATCCAAAAGAATTTCACAACAATTGTGAATAACCCTATTCAAATCTTTTACTAGTTCATGCATGCACACACACTCACTGACTTGATGGTGGATAGCAGGGCCTAAAGGAAACTAGAGGTTTTGATAACAACAAATTAATAAGCAAATCATAGTACGTTAGGAACTGGGGGAATTTAAAATTAGTTAAAAGATGACCTCTTCTTGAATGAACTTCATTGCAACAAAAGCTTTATATTCCACCTCCTCGGCTCAACTCCTTGTGTATCATGTCATGTTCCAGCCACAAATTATACAGTCAACTGCAAATGTGCCACAATATGTTAGTAGCTTATACAAGAAAAAGTAACAAAATATAATATTAAAAACTCGGGTTGGAAAACATACCTAACCATAAGAGAATTTGCTAGTAATGCAGCAGATGAATACGAGTCTCACCTCTATAAGCAATCATCCCATGCCTTTCTCACATGACCATACACTGAAAAGTACTTCATAACTGTTTCAAATCCAGACCCCTCATGGTAGGCCTCAAACTAAGTTATCAATTGTATAATTTGGAGGACCATGCAATAAAATTGGGCCATAAGGAGCATCTAAATAGTGTTTCCTTGAGGATAGACCATATTTGAACCTCAAATTCCTCGATTGATTTGAAAACCATATACCAACACAATTTTTAGCAAGTTCTCCTTATGGCATAATATAGTATCATCAATTTTGAAGTATCATTGTCTGCCTGTCATGGTCAAGTTTTTCAGTCTAAAAACAAATTTAACCAATTAACTCTGCTAGGCATGATTCCTGTCTCAAAACAAGTCTGTCCTAGGATCTATCCCCATTGCTCTCACCAATAGTCTCTGCAAGAACACAAGCCATCCTTAAAATGATGAAATCTGTTAGCATCCCTCAATATGACCTCTCTTCCCATAACTTTGGATATTAACTTAATTGCAGAATGGCAATCACCACAAACGCGAAGATTCTTCATCACCCGAATGGGCATCCCTTGGGGTACCTTCAAGAGTCCATATGCTATGGCCAGTTTCTCACTGTGATAACCCAAGCTGTGTGCCTTTTCTTCTTCCTCCACATCATGCAATACAAAGCTGGCATCAGGGCAGTAACCAGCTTCTCTTAACAATACACCTAGTTTCTCTAACATTCTCATGATCATCGCATGGTCCGGGTGTCCCGTGCTCTCTCCCCCAGTAAACATATGAACATTTTTCTCCACCTCAATCCAGCTACAGCCAGGTGACTTGCTAACGCTTCTTGTTCTCATGTTTTTCCTCAGCTCTGCAACATCATGCCATCTACCCTGTGATGCATAAATATTTGATAGCAAGACGTAAGGCCCTGCTTTGTTGGGCTCAAGTTCTGTAAGTTTCTTTGCAGCAACTTCTGCCAAATCCAATTTCATGTGTTGTCTGCATGCACCTAATAAGGCACCCCAAACAACAGCATCTGCTTCAACTGGCATTTTCTTAATTAAATCCATTGCGTCCTTTACCTTTCCTGCTCGACCAAGCAGATCAACCATACAAGCATAATGTTCAGTTCTTGGCTCCACCTGGTACTTTGATTTCATTGTCTCAAAAATTTCAAAACCTTTTTCTACCTTCCCACTATAGCTACATGCTGAAAGAACTCCAATAAAGGTGATCTCATCTGGTGATATACCCAAGGAGCACATCTCTTGGAAAACTTGTAAAGCTTTCTCTCCTAAACCATGTTGGGCATAACCGGTGATCATTGAATTCCACATAACTATATCCTTCGCAGCAAACCTGTTAAACACCTGGTTTGCCTTCACAAGGTTACCACATTTAACATACATTGTCATCAAAACTGAGGCAACATATACATCATGATCAAATTGGTTTCTCACCAACTGGGCATGAATTTGTCTACCATAATCAAGGCTGGCCAAGCTGCCACAAACAGATAGAACGCTTATCAAAGAAGGGAAATTCGGCCTAACACTTTCTCTTTGCATCAAAGTAAACAAGTCAAGTGCTTCCAATTCAAAACCTTTCCGTTCATAAACTTTAATCATCGCACTCCATGTCCGATCATCCCTCTCTCTCATATTATCAAAAACTTCCCTTGCTTTAGCTACCTCTCCATTTTGGCCATACCCAAGTATTATTGCATTACAAGCAACAACTGACTTATCTGGCATGGCATGAAAAAGCTCTGAAGCCTCTTCAATCCGTCCACACTGAGTGTAACCTATTAGCATTGCCGTCCATGAAACCTCATTTTTCTCCGGCATCACTTCAAAAAGCTTTCTAGCAATATCTACCTGGTTGTTATGCACATACCCAGATACCATCGTAGTCCAGGAAACAACATTCCTTCGCGGCATCTCATCAAAAATCTCACGTGCTTCTGCCAAACGGCCAACTTGAAAATACCCACCAATCATATTAGTCCTTGTCACCACATCCTTCTCGGGCATCATATCATAAAGCCTACGAGCCTCATCAATCCGACCCTCTTGAATCAGGCCACCTAACATCACTGTCCATGAAACAACATTCCTTTCAGGCATCTGCCAAAAGAGTGATTCAGCATCTGAAATCCTACCCTCTTGAACGTACCCTCTAACCATCGAAGTCCACGATACAACATTCCTTTCGGGCATCGAATCAAACACTTTCCTAGCCTCAATAATCATCCCATTCTTGACATAACCGGATATCAAACCGTTCCAAGAAACCGTATTCCTCTCCAGCATTCTATCAAACAGTTTTCGGGCTTCTCCTGGCTGATTACTTTGGAAGTAACCTGCAACTATTGAGTTCCAAGACACAATAGTTTTGTCAGGCATTTGATCAAACACCCTTCGGGCTTTCTCAATTTGGCCAAGCCGAGCATACCGAGCAATTTGAGAATTGGAGGAAATTGCAAAACTAGTGCAGTATTTCCGAGATAGAATAAACCGAACCCGCATTGTTCGGCACAAAATGCCCTGCCCACATCAATAAAATACCAATTATTCAGAGATTATTAAATAATACCGTAAGTTAAATTCAAATATGACTGAAAATATGCCCAAACGATCAAATAATAGAAATATAAAATTTTATATTCAAGATTAAGAGTGAAGAAGCAACAAGGTAACGTAAGTTATGATTTTAAAATAAAATAAAAAACCTGTTGGAGTGGAGCAGATGCAGCAGCACAGCTTTCAGTGGAGAAGAAGAAGTCCGTTCGACATTCTTTTTTCTTTCTTCTTCTGGTTCTTTGAGTTGGTTCGTGCCGCCGTTTATTTTCAAATGGGAAAACCTGGCCTTTCATCTCTCTCTCGAGAGAGAAGAGGCTGGGTGTGATTTGGCCAAGTTTTCAACATTAGATTTTGACCCTATATTTATTATAATTTAAAAAAAGGCTGCGTAATCTTTCAAATAATTTCAAAATAACCCCTATCCACGTCATATAATCTGGTTCAAATTTGGAAATGTGCAGCTCTCTTTTTGAAATCTCTTTTTCAAAACATCTAGAGTTTCTTCAGACACAATCTGTATATGTCCTGCCAATGGTCTTCATATTGGCATCACATATGGTTTGGTACATTGGACAGCTCTTGGTTTCTTCTTGGGAGCTCCACTTGCAGCCTCAATTTCTCTATGGCTATCTGTTCTTATGTTGGCCTTCAATGTTAATTGTACAAAGAGTTTTGAGCATACATTGGAAAGATTTTTATTCAAATCTCTCGATTATATAGTCGCAGGCTTAAAGCTGGCCCTTCCCTCTGCAACAATGGAATGGTAAATGGACATCCTTCGAAATTTTATACTTTTATCCCGAATCTCGAATAATGTTCTTTTGTAATACATACATTAGATGAATAGTCTGACAGCATAACAGCCAGACTCTCTGACACAATAACATTTTGTTCTACTCCTTCAAGTTTTCTAGTAATTGTTGATTCAGTTCAAGGTGTCTTTTCAGGTTGAGATCACTCACATTTAAACTTTGTTCTTCTTCTCTTTTTTCCTTTTCTTTTTCTTGGTGTACATAAATTTGATTATGGGGTTTTTCAGGTGTGGCTAGAGGATGTAAACTTGGCAACAATCTAGATAAATGTTAGGCAAAAGAAATAGTTAAACTGTAGCAACATAGACCAGTCAATATCATAATTAAACATGGATTAGTATTAACCTTGCAAAAACAAGGACTGCAACAACTGAAATCTGCTGATCATTCACACATCTTACCATTAAATCTTACATCTAACATGTCTTACAACTGAAATCTGCAAAAACTAATAGTTTACTCATCACGGCAATGCCAGGTTCTCAACCATATAGCCCTAATATTTGACACAAGAGGCATCCAATACAACATAACTATTTCCTCGGAAAATATGCATTTTCATTCCCCCGCGCATGACGTTGACAAGCTCAAAAACCATTGTGTCCCCAAGTGAAATGTTGTTCGCTTGACAACATTCTGACCACCCTTTTGTCATGAGCAAACGACCACCGTTATGTTCTTTTTCATCAAGCCTTAGCTTAACATCCCATGATATCCCATTTGGGTCTTCAACCCTTACACTCGTCTTTCTAATGAGACCTTTAGCCACAGCCAGCTCCTTTGGGATATTCTGCAAATATGAACAACATTGAAGGGAAAGAAAATGCTCAGCCACTTGAGTTGGACATTTTTCAGTCCATCAAAAGGTTTTCTGAAGAGTTCTTTTACCATTTTTCCTTTCAGTAACAGAATTGGATTATGGATTGGGGTGATGAAAGTACTCACCAAGCGATAGCGGTTCTTCTTCATAGCTCGAATGAAGCATAGATGCTTCGATCTGAACAGAATAGGTGCATTTGATGTTTCTTTCCCACCATCAGTTCTTGCAATCCTCTTTCCAGACTTGAGAGACTTGCCTATACAATTCCAAACAGAGCATGATCTAAAAAGAGCCTATAAAGAAAACTAGCACATACAAAAATCCCCAAGCTTTAAAGAAATAAAATAATATACAACTTACGCTTCCTTATGTTCGACATACGAGCATCTTCTTCACTGTCTTCGTCAGGTTCTTCAGTGTCAAGCTCAATGATCTCCTCCTTTACTCGAGCTTGATTTCCCCTTCTCTTCTTGGCTGGTTCTAACTCCTTCTCAGAGCCAATTGGATCATACACTGCGACATCAAACTTGGACTTGCCATCATAATCAAAAACCAAAACATTTGCAATTTCCAGAGAATGGTCCTTCACAAAACGCTGCCAACCCTCATGGAAGAAAAATCTATCCCCTCTCACTTCCAAACCCACTGTCCAACAGTCTCCACGAGGATCTCTAAGAGTACATTTGGGAGGCAATCGTCCATTGACATGGTCCATAAATGCAGGTGGTATACACTACAAAATTCAATAAAACTCTAGCATAAACATAGCATAAATAATTAAAACCATGCTACTGTGGACATCGGTACATCTTGAACAGAACTTTTAGGCTATGAGATCAACAAAAGGGCCAAACCACAATCAGTTAAACAATCGATGAAATTGCAGTCATTCTAAAGCAAAAAGAACAGAGAAAAAAGAAACAGAAATGGAAGAAGCAAAAAAGGCAATCCATGATATGCAGCAGTCGTTTTAAAAACCAAAAAGATCAGAGAAAAAAGAAACAGATCTGGAAGAAAGAAAGAAAAAACTAAGGCAAGCCATGATATTGCAGAGACAAAAGAAACAGAAATGGAAGAAAGCAAAAAAAGAAAAAAGGAAAAAGGCAAGCCATAATATTGCAGTCCTTTTAAAACCAACAAGATCAGAGAAAAAGAAACAGAAATGGAAGAAAGAAATTTAAAAAATAACACAAATCCTGTTAGAAACCTAGAAGATCAGCAACTTTCAGTTGAATTAGTCAGTAAGTTTCATTTAATTAGAGGGTTTCATATATAAATCCAAAAACAACTCTGCTTTTACAGAACAAAACTCTTTTTGGCAAACGGAGAAGTGAAAGCAATAGAGAGGTAGGACTGGATGTTACCAAACGCTGAGAGAAGTCACCAACCAGGACCTTGAAAAACGATGGTATCTTCAGCGAAGGCTTAGTTGGTTTTCTACCCATTATTTGGATGATAAGCTGGAATGTTATGAAGATGAAGATTAGAGATTGAACAAGCAGTGTGTTTAGTTTCAGTTTCCAACTGAGGAGCTCTCAGGAACAGCTTTTTTCTGGTTCTTCAATTGTGGATACGACAACTGTTTGGTTATGGAGATTTTAAGGAGAAGAAGCTCTTCTGTAACTTCTGTATTAGATCTTGTGTGCGTAAGCTCAGTTTGGATTTTTGCTTTGTCTTGAATTCGTTTGTTTTATTCCTGCTGGATTTGGAAAGCACGTCTAATGGGCACATGCATGGGAAAGTGACTACTTCAGACCCAGAAAAAGAAAAAGATACCCCAAAAAAAAAGAAAAGAGAGAGCAAATTTCTGGTGGTCATGGTTTAGTAAAGTAAAAGTAGGGGACTGTATACGAAAAATATCCGTGTGTATTTACTAATGTATGGAAAATACTTGAATTTTACTTGTACTATTCAACCTTTTGTAAAGAAACGTGAAAAATATATAAGTACATGTATAATACATGTATAATATATTTTGATTATAAAGAACATGTATTTTACCACGCGTATGGTTCTTTCTTTTCTTTTTTCATGCATTAGACCGTTTTCTTTTCTCTTTTAATATGAGACACGATTTAAGGTTAAAGATTAACCACATGTGACATGCAACCTGTGACTAAAGAAAAAAATAAAAGAGAGGAGGAAGAACTCATCAACTAAAGATGATGGTTTCTTATTGACTAATTCACTTATGATTTTAGGTGAATTGAATATATTTGGTACCGACTAATTTCATCCATTCATAACTCTTCACTTTTTTCCAAGTCCATACATTTGAAATCGAAGATTCACAGTTGCATGTGCACTCCTTGACTGAAAACACATCATATACTCAATATAGGGTTGACAGTCTTGCCTTAAATGTATATATATTTGATGGAAACCAACTCATTGATAATTAAGGCCATCTTGCTAGCTGTGAACTTGTGGTGTTGGTGTCAGCAAGTTAATTTCCTTTTCTTTTTTCGTATATTGCTTGGTAAAAGTGATTTGTCCAAAAATGGAGAATGAAATTGAGATCAACATCAACCAGCAATGCATGGGATTCTTTTACCTTCTCATCTCTCACCTTCCTCAATCAATTGCTCCAGTCATCAACTCAATGCTTCATGTTACGATATCTCTCATCCATGTTGTTACTTTTTGAGGCTGTAATTAATTGTGAAGCAACATAAGATGCACCCACTTTTGGAGAAAGAAATTTTAAAATACATATGCTTTCACAACGTATATGCACTTTGATCATACGGCTTGTGCACACTGAATTATTTGATCCAACAGAGACAGAGAGATTATAAAAACACTACGTTGCCACATAGTTGATTTTTTTTTTTTTTTTTTTTTTTTTTTTTTTTTTTTTTTTTTTTTAAAATTTTTAATTATAATACCAAGTGTTTCTAAGTACTTTAAAGAAGGATATTAGAAGGATAGAGGAGGAACTCATTATTTTCATAGATAATTACTATGAAATTATCAATTTATGCAATGATACAATATTCTGAGTCTAGTCTCTCTCTCTCTCTCTCTCTCTCTCTCTCTCTCTCTCTCTCTCACAGATTGTGTCAGTCGTCTCTCTAGATTCTTCCGAGACACTGACTAGTATTCTATGTCAGTTACATTTTCAATGTTGATAGATTCATAAATGACTTGAATTAGGCTATAAAACGAGTGTAGAATGAATCTGGAATTTTATGGAACAAAAACTCCACTTCTCCAGAGTGACATACCTAAGTTTTAAACCCTTATGTACTTGAATTAATGATGGTGAATATGTAAGCAAGTATAGGTGATGTTGCAATACAACCTTGCAGATTGTGTTATCTTGTTTTAGAGCCTTATTTTGAGTTTTCTTTGATAGGTTTAGCACATATCTAAGGCTCTTTACTCAAATTAATTTTGTGGTTTGCTCACTAAAGTATCATAGACTTGCTTTGGAATCATGATAAATATATATGTGTTGCTCTTAAGGGTGGACATTTGAACTAGTGCATTGAGTCGAACCGAGTCAAAAAAAAGGAAAAAACCGTATTGACAAAAAAAGTCAACCTATGCTCAAAACCCGAACTGGACCGTTTTGGATTGGTTCCCGTCCCAATTCTTGTCTTGAAAAAACTGATATAAACCTAATCGGACTGGTTATGTTAAGTTTACTTATTTATTTATATCCAAAATTATTAGTAAGCCTAATTAATATTCAAATTACATTAATAACTCCAAGTAATATTTTAGGCCAATTAATACCCAAATGTCTTAATTCCAATTTATACCCAGCTAATAACAACTCTGGCCCAACTTCTTTTTCTTTTTTGGTGAACCATACCCATTTTTCTCTCTTTTCCACCTATTTATTTCTCTCTTCACCTCTCTCTCTCTCTCTCTCTTCTACCTCTTTCTCTATTATTGTATCTCTTCTACTGATTTTTCTCTTTCTTCTTATTCTTCTCTTCTTCACATCTTCATGCTTTGCAGGTTGTCTAAAGCACCTCACATTTCTTGACTCCAAACATATGACAACATAGAATTTCATTGGATTCAAATAATTGCATGAACATTGAAGATGTTGGTCTTTCTGGTAATAAATCACAATCCATTTCTCATCCAGCCTTCCAAATTTGGAAATTTTGTAAACACGGGGCTCGTCATTATTGCTTACGAGTAGCACCAGAATTAATTTTGGTTTCTTATTTATCTCATTTCTTATCAACTTGTAAATGTCATGGGTAAAAATAAAAGTTGCATGTTCCTCTAGAAATTGGAGGTGTATAAAAGGAGTGGGTGTAAATTCTTCGAATCAAAATCATCCTTCACATTCTCATTTCTCAACTTCAATAGGGATCTTCAATCTGCGGATTACACTTCACTAACTTCATACCTCTACCAAGTCCATCCTTCGAGTTCTTATGCATACCCTCAACGCTTTGTGTGGTGGTATTCGCACCAAAAAAATAACTCGAGCAATTAGCTTCAGCCCATCTTTTCCATTTGTGGTATATCATTTTGATCCAATTGCCTTTTAAATCATGTGTATCTATCGTATATTGCCAATGTTGTTGGAACGCCACTACTGTCTAACCACCGTGCACATAATAGTTGAACTCCCTTACAATTTATAGGTTATCCACATTGGAGTTCACATTTCTCATGATGTGCCATGAACATAAATAATGATGTGCATCGGGAAAACTTCACATCAATCAAAAACCACATTGAGTCATCCCTGTATGTGACAATAGATACAAGCTTCTTGTCCTTCATAGAAGTAAAATATGAATGGAGTAGCTGCAGTCTCATCAACAAGAAATGAACAACCAAAAACTGTAGTCATGTTTTGGTTGATTACATAAACAAACACCACTAAAGGCTTGTCATATCAGTTGGTCTTGTACATACTATACAATCCCATATTTTCATACAAATATAAACAAATTTCAATACCCAATTGATTAATACAATTGGAAATTACATACCAACTAATCAACTACAACATTCATTCTGATTTTATCAAATTAATGCAAAGAACAAAAAGCCAAACAAACACATTACTTCTTATTCTTCTGCAAGGCATTTCTGAGAGAGCCATTAACCATATACTCTGTCATTGTTGACACAGAACCTCTCGGCCCATCAAGCACAACACCATAGAAGCTACCACACTGAGATGGTGCCAATCAGCAAGTTTAATGGCCTCGTTCCAGAAATCATCTCTCTGATTGAATACAAAATCTACAACATAGGGACCATGCAAGTGAGGTATTAATAATAAAAAATTAATAGTTTTTGGAAACTAGTGCAATGAAAAGACAAATCATTTATTCTTCCATAACTCAATTCTCTCAGCTCTTCCCACACCTTGACATACCCAATCCCATATTTTCATAAATACAAATAATTGATTAATACAAATCAAATTAGAAATTTCAAAACCCAATTGATTAATTGACATCTTACAAAGCAGAGCAAGACAACAAAACAAAAACAAAAACTGGGTATGATTCAAGAATTGGAACAAACCTTAGTTCTAAGAGGGTGGGATTGAAGTGGTATGAGCTATTTTCTCCAAGCCCCATTGAGTATCTCAGACATGGTTTTGCTGCTGCGAATTAAGAGGAAGATACAATAGGCACAACTGGGTTTTCGAAGAAGGAAGAGAGAGGCTTCGCTTGGGGTTTTTTTTAAGATGAGGTTTGAGTTTTAGTTGTAGAGAAGAGAGAGGCTTCGAATGTGAGTGTAGTGGAGGGTTTTCTTGGTTTTGTTTTGTTTTGGTGTCCAATTAGGTGTGAAATGGTACATAATATGCCATTCTACTAACCAATCGTTGTTTGACACATGTACATTAAATAAAATTAATATTAAATAGAGTTATATCAGTTCGGTTTGGTTTAGGACAATTTCAAAAACGCTCAAACCGCAACTGAACCAAACCAACCTGGTTCGGATCGGTTTTTCAAATTGTTGACTTTTTCTTTGGTCAAAATCAAACCAAACTAAACCAATATAATCGGCTCGGCCGGTGTAATCGGATCGGCAGGATTGATGCCCACCCCTAGTTGGCACTCATTATTAAATCCATTTTTTTTCTTAATAACCAAGTTCTCGGTTAAATTTTATAGTTTTTTTAGTTAAATACCCAATTCTCCACCTAGTTCTATTGCAAAACCCTATTGTTTGGGCCTAAAATTGACACGCCTAGAGCAACAAAGGAGGCCCAGAATAAAACCACAAAACTCAAACAGTTTTGTCTTTGAAAAAAAAGGAGGGAAACAGAAGCCCAAAAACCAGAAAGGCCTAGCCCAAGATCTATCAAAATAGACAAGCAAAACTTGGGCCTCAAAAGAAAAGTCACCTTCGGGCTCCAGACAAAAATAAACCCAGCACGATTTTGATAAAAGAAAAGACCCATTTCTTTTCAGAAATCACGTGACACCCTTTTATCAGATTTGGAAAAGTCAACAAAACCAGCCATTACAGAGATGATTAGAGAGGGTCAGTAGCTGGCAAAACTGGGAAGGGACATCTCTGAAATTTTGAAAGATCAAATCCCTTTACACATGAATATATTTAGAGATATTTCTTCTATTCAGAAGGTGATTTTCCCAAAGAGATAAGCAAACACAATCTCAGATAAAGATAAACAGGAAAACAGGGACCTGTTCAAAACTGAGAATTAGACTAATCATCACGGTTCTCACAGGGGGGCAGTTGGAATTAAAGAGGGGTTAGGTTCTTTTTCAAGAAAAACAGGGAAGTGATCTTAAGAACTGACTATTGAGAGCTTATCTACCAGAAATTGATCAAAACCCCATTTCTTTACAATTAAAAATGAAAGATCTTTTTTAAGAAATTGCCGCCCATTATTTAAAAGAATTGCCCTACTCCAGATAACATCTCTTATAAATACAAGGAGTGAACAGGGCAAAAAGACAATCAATCCAACACTCAAGTCATCAATCAAATAAACAACTCAAAATCAACCAGAAGCTCACTTGAATTCCAAGTGAAAACCAACTTTAGATCATAATTCCCAAGGTTCAGACTTAGAAAATAAGTCATTCAAAACGAGATTTCTCTCATTACAAATTTGGTTCAGCAAAAAACCAAGACAGGTAGAGCTTGAGCTTTTCCCAAACATGAAAATCTCAACAAATTTTACAGTACAGTCTGTAGCCCACTGAAGTCCTCGAGAACAGCCACTTCTGCCCTTACAAACTAAAGAAGCCGCAGTTCTGCCCACTCAGAAGCCTCACAAAAGCTTGAAGTGTATTAAAGTTCTGCCAAAATTAACCTTTGGTATCGATCTACAATTGAAGCTTAGTAGCAGAAGTTGATAACAGTCCAGTCCAGCCCGGATCAGAATCTCCTATCCAGGCAGAAATGGAGTTCCAATTGTCTTTTCTTCTTTCTAGCTTGGATATTTATGTTTATAGTTTTGTAAAAGGCAGTTCTGCCTAAGACAGCTTAAATTCCATCAACCATTCTAGCCAGAACAACCTCTTTATACTGAGATAAATTGTTAGAGTCCTCACCAGTCTGAGGCAAGAAAAAAACTTACTTGGGAGATATTCCTTACCCAAATTCACAATCGCTTGTTTATGGAAATCAGTAACTTGGGGCGCAAGTTATCTATTCTAGAATAAGTCTGCTAGAATCTTCATTGCCAGCAGTGGCACGCTCATACACCAAAGAAAGCTGACTTGCTGACCAGTCAATGGTTCACAAGGCAGTGAGGAACTTTGCCCTTCCACCACAGGAGTGATCACAAAACGGGTGAACAATTTGGCACGCCCGATGGGACTTCGTAGTATACATATTCTCACAGAATTCCTCTCAAGTTTATGAATATTGGAAGCTCTAGCCAGAACCCACACCACGCCATGGAGATAAACCAGGTGGCTCTCAGGGAAGGGCTGGAGTAAAAGGAAAGTGATGCCAGGCACTCAGAACATGGTAGCACAGGGAGTAGAAGGTCCAGGACTGGCTTCAGAAGGATGAACCTGATTCAGGAATCTGTGTTGCGACAAGAAGTCACAACACAAAGGAGCAAGGACACTCTTAATAATATGACAGCCATGATGCAATGGCAGGTCAACAGGCAGTTCAAGAAGGACCGTGAGGCTGCCATAGCCAGAATTCCAAATCCGGATGCTGTAGTCCAGCAGCTAGACCTTCCCTATGGTCCCCCACCAGGATTGGCATGGCCATATCAAGAGAATCCTCTTATTGCACAGATAGCTGGGATGCCAGAACGTGGGGAAGTTCAGGCTGGACAAAGGGGAGAAGCCCTTCTTGTCCAAGAACGTGAGGCCCAAGCTCGACCAGAAGGCCCTACACTAGTTCAGATGCAACAGAACTAGCCAGAACCTCACCCTATTCCACAGGATCAACCTTTGACACTTCTACCTGAGCCACCAGCAGTGTTGCCTTATAGACCTAGAAGGATGGATCCCAATCCATTCCCTCCACCTGCAAGAGGCAGAAGAGGCGGAAGGGTAATAACCTTTTTGCCAACAATGACAGGAACAGGCTGGGGGCAAACTGGAGGAATAATCCAAATCTGGAAGAACAGGAAGAACACAGGGAGGAAGTTCTGCCCATGCCATACAGAGCGGAGCCTAGGATTGATCATGCCTAGCCAGAACAAGGGCGAAATCACCACCATGTCAATGCTCTGAATGACGTGGGGGCATTACAAAGATGATCAGAGAGATAATGGAGCCTGAAGCCAGAAGAGGAGAAAGGCCCACCTATAGGAAGCCATATCCGGCTTATATCGATCAAATACCTCTATCCCCGGGTTCTAAGGTGCCAAACTTCACCTTATTCAACGGAGAGGATCCCTATGCTTCATCAGTTGAGCACATAGGCAGGTTCTCTGTCCAGTGCATAGCCATAGAGAACAATCCTCTTTTGAAGTTGAGGCTTTTCGAGAATTCTCTCTCTGGACAAGTTTTTACTCGGTACACCAACCTGCCAGCTAATTCTGTTCAAACTTGGGAGCAGATGGAAAGTGTTTTCCACGACTATTATTACAGGATTCAACCAGAAGTCACCATCAGTGACCTTGCTGCCCTCAAACAGAGTGAAGATGAACCTGCTCAAGACTTCATAACCAGGTTCAGGAAGCTCAAAATGAAGTGCCGAATCCTTATGGAAGAAAGACACTTCATCCAGATGGCTCAAGCTGCCCTCAAGATCTCTCTAAGAAAAAGATTTGATGGGATGCTGTTTGGAGACCTGGCAGAACTGGCAGATAAAGCATCCAAGTATGAGGAACTGCTTAGGGAAGAACATCGGAAGAGGAACTCATCCAAAGGCACGTATTACAAGTCACCTTCCTCTTCAATACATCTGGTTCAGGTAGAATCAAAAGAGGAAGCAGAATGCTCAGAGGAGGGAGAAGTTGCGGTAGCAGAAATGGCAACATTGAAACATCCCATCAGCTGCAAGGTCCTTACTAAGCCAAAAAGGATCAGAAGCCACCACCTTTCACAGGAGGGTTTGTTCCGAGCAAACCAACACAGAACAAGGTTTATTCCTTTGATCTAACCAAGGTGGATGCTTTATTTGATGAAATGTTGTTGCAAAAGGCAATAGAGACACCCCACAGGATACCCAAGCCAGAAGAGCTCAAGGGCAGGCAGTATTGCAGGTGGCACAACTCTTGGAACCATTCTACCAATAGTTGTGTAGTTTTCAGAGATGTTATACAGGAAGGAATAGCAGCAGGAAGGTTGAAACTGGCGGAGAAATCTCCTTCAGTCACAACAGATCCTTTTCCCCAACCACAAGTCAACATGGTCAACTTAAATTGGCCAGAACAGAAGAGAAACAGGCCAACGACAGAAGCCAATTCCAGTAAAGGCAGAATGGTTTCAAGAGAAACTATTGAAAGGCCAAAACCAACTATCTCAGCTGGAGTAGTGCTCTGCAGCAAGTGCAAATGTGAAGCTGAGCTAGAAGTGGTCCTGGACAGGCAGAGTCAGCCCATTCCGAGTGTTTTTGACAAGATTGGAACCTCATCCCGAGATAGAGCCAGGCGAAAGGAGTATCCCAGACCAACCCAGCACAGCAGGAGGATGACATAGCAACCCAAGAAGGAAATATCAATCAAGATGCCCGGGAATGAGAAACCTCTGGCTGCTATCATAGAAGAAAGGTGGTATGCTGTCGGGAAAAGTGGCAGACCAACTATGGAATTAACCAGAACCCAGAAGATGAGGGTTCAAAGGCAATACTGCATGTTCCTCAAGAACAAAAGTGATGCACAGGCACCTCCGGAGACCACTTCTGGCAGAAAAGGGAAAGATCCGGAAATACTTTCCCAGGCAGAACAAGTAATCCAGCCACAGAAAATGTTGAAAGCTGGATCTCCAGTTAAGCCTTCTATCCATCTTGCTTCATCCTCAGACAATCAATTTAAACCTTCACAGATACAAGGAGAATCTGAACTTATTCCAATAGAAGGGCCAGAAGACTGGACTGAGGGAAATGAAGAGGAGCAGCTAGATTATGAGCCATCTGCAGATGACTAGAATGCACTCCTCGAAACAGGAGAACAGGAAGACTGGACAGAAGGATTCGGGGAGGAACACATGGAATATGATGGGGAATTAGATACAAAACCAAAGCTTTTGGTGCAGAATTGGAAAACCTGTTGCAAGGTGATTTGGGCATCAACATGGTGTTCATTCTGCCAGAAAAGTTCAGAGCTGCAGAAGGACAAGAAAGCACTCTGGAGGGAGATGTTTTCTCCCAAGAAAGTTTCGAATGTAAGTTGACAGAGGCAGAAGAGACGCTAGAACAGCAAGCAGGCAATCCCAGGACAGAAGGAACTGACAACAAGTTGGCTGCAGACCAGCTTTGCTTCTCCAAACCAACCAAAGAGATAGCAAATCACCTCAGACCCTTGTTTATAACAGCAAACTTTAGGGGTGTTCCTATTCCCAAAATCATGGTAGATGGAGGTGCATCCATCAATCTTCTGTCTCACAGAATGCTAAGCAAAATGGGCAGAACAGAGAAGGACTTGATCCCAACACGCTTAACCGTCACCAACTTTGCAGGGGGCATCACCAAAACTCATGGGATCCTAGATGTGGATGTCATAGTTGAAAGCAAAGAGCTGAAGATTGCATTCTTTGTGGTAGACACCACTTCCACCACCTATAATGCACTACTTGGCAGGGACTGGATTCACCAGAGTCTGTGTGTTCCCTCCACTCTTCACCAGCAATTAGCTCTGTGGAATGAAGAAGGTTACATGGAGATAGTAGAGGCCAATCCACGGCCATTTCTGCCCTCTGCCATGTGTTTTGAGGCAAGGTATTACCATGATGACCTTGGTTCTTTCACTTTCCTTGGAGTCAACCAGAACGGCCGTCCCCATGGTGTCACGGCCCAGAGGCTCATTGAAGATGGTCTAGCTAGTTCCTTAGAAGACTGGAATAGACCTTTTGTTCTAAACCTCCAGAACTTTGATGTTTAGTTCCTATCAACAAGAAAAGGATCGAGCTGCAACAATCCGATCCATTACAAAAAGATTGTTGATATATTGGGAGGAAAGGAAGCTCTTCATGCAGGATCCATCCATCAATATGGCAGAATTCACTCATGAGAGCACGGAAGACCAGGAGGAAGAAGAGTTACAGGAGGAAGTGTTAGATTTTGCGCCAGCAGCACTGGATGACTCTCTGCCAGAAGTGGAAGATCCTTTACAGGAAATAAACTTAGGGACAGAAGAGGATCCAAGACCTACTTTTATTAGCGCACTATTGAAAGAACCGCTCAAGAGTGAGCTCATTGCACTGTTGCAGGAGTTCAGAGATTGTTTTGCTTGGCATTATCATGAAATGCCATGTCTAGACAGAGAATTAGTGGAGCACAAGTTGCCAATCAAAGAGGGATACCTTCCAGTCAAACAGGCCAGAAGAAGAATGTCCCTGGACACAAAACTAAAGGTCAAAGAAGAAATAGAAAGGTTGCTCAAAGCAGGATTCATCAGACCAGCCATCTATGCAGATTGGCTAGCTAATATTGTACCAGTTCTGAAAAGAAAAACTGGGGTAGTCAGAATCTGTGTGGATTACAGAATGAGGCAGCACAAACTAAAGATGAACCCAAAGAAATGTGTTTTTGGAGTTCAAGCAGGAAATTTCCTAGGATTCTTGGTCCACCAGAGAGGTATAGAAATCGACAAAAACAAAGCAAAGTCCATCATAGAAGCTCTGCCGCCTAGGAACAAGAAAGAATTGCAGAGTCTCTTAGGAAAAATTAATTTTTTAAGAAGATTCATATCCAATTCTGCAGGAAAGATCCAGCTTTTCTCCTCTTTGTTAAGATTGAAACAGGAACAGACCTTCAAGTGGGAAGAACAGCACCAACAAGCTTTTGAGGAAATCAAGCATTACCTCTCAAATCCACCAGTTCTGTCCCCACCAAAGAGAGGCAGACCACTCAAGCTCTATGTATCTGCATCAGAAGTATCCATTGGGAGTCTGTTGGTTCAAGATAACAAGGAAGGGAAGGAACAGGCAATCTATTACTTGAGCAGAACTCTGACAGAGGTGGAAAGAAAATATTCTGCAATTGAAAGACTTTGCCTAGCCTTGTACTTCACTGCTGTGAAACTCAGACACTACATGCTGTCATACACCATCTACATAATTGCCAAGACAGATCTGATCAAGTACATGCTAACCAGGCCAATGTTAAGAGGCAGAATTGGAAAATGGACCTTGGCCTTGACAGAATTTGCCTTCAGGTATGTTCCTCAGAAAGATGTCAAGGGACAAGTTGTGGCAGACTTCCTAGCAGATCATCCTGGAGAGGAAATTGAGAACATGGACTCTTTGGACATAGCAAATGCAGATCTGTTAACTAGAGCTTACACTTGCTTTAACAATCCTATCTATTCAGTTCATCTCACACCTTGGAAGCTGTATTTTGATAGATCAAAAACTTATATAGCTTCTGGGGCAGGAATTGTTTTGGAAGAACCACTTGGAATCAGACACTGTTATTCTTTCCAGTTAGATTTCCAATGCACCAACAACAGGGCAGAATATAAAGCTCTAATCATAGGATTAAAAATGCTGGTAGAACTAGGAATCTAATATGTGGAAATCCTGGGAGATTCAATGCTTGTATTAAAACAGATTGCTGGGGAATACAAGTGCCTTAGTCCTTCTCTAGCTGTATATCTAGTGGCAGCTAGGAATCTTCTGACAGAATTTAGAGAAGCTACTTGGGAACACATCCCAAGGGAGGAAACTGTGCAGCCAATGAACTGGCCCAAGTAGCAACAAGTATACAAATGCCTGAAGACTGTGTACAGAGGATCATCAAGATGGGAAAAAAAAGCCTACCATCAGTTCTGACCAGGGGGATGGAGATAGATGTCAATTCTGCCATAATCATTGAAGATGATTGGAGAAATCCTATCATAACCTAGTTACAGTATTCAACCTTACCTTCTGAAAAAAGAGTCAGAATCATGGCTTTGAACTATCTTATGTGGAATGAAGATTTGGTCCGAAAGAGTAATGATGAGGTGCTTTTAAGGTGCCTCGGAAAGAAAGAATACATAAAAGTTATGGGGGAAACTCATGAAGGAATCTGTGGAGCCCATCAAGGTGGGAGGAAAATGTGCTGGTTAATTAGAAGGTATAGCTACTTCTGGCTAACCATGATGAAAGATTGCATTGACTATTCCAAGGGGTGTGAGTCTTGTCAAAGACACAGCCCAATCCAGCAGGCTTCTTCAGTTCCCATGAATCCAGTGGTAAAGCCATGACCCTTTAGAGGATGGGCAATGGACCTAATTGGCAAGATCTATCCAGCCAGCAGCACTGTTTTATCATTGTTGCCACAGACTATTTCACTAAGTGGGTAGAAGCCAAGCCTGTTAAATCCACTACATCTCAAGAGATCATAACTTTCATAAAAGAACAGATTATACAGAGATTTGGCATCCCAGAATCAATCACAACTGACAGAGGATCTTCTTTCATATCTGGAGAAATGCTGGATATGGCAGAGGCATTCAAATTCAGGCTGCTTCAATCCACTCCTTATTATGCCCAAGCTAACGGGCAAGCAGAATCAAGCAACAAGGTAATCATCAACATTATCCGAAAAATGCTTGAGAAGAATCCAAAGTAATGACATGAGAAGTTGTCAGAAACTCTGTGGGCATATAGAACTTCAAAGAGAGAAGCAACTGGCATGACCCCTTACGCTTTAACATATGGCAATGATGCAATTCTGCCTATGGAGATAGCTGTTCAGTCCCTCAGAATTGCTCACCAACATAATTTGGTAGGAGAAAACTACTCTCAAGCCATGCTGCTAGAACTGGAAGGATTGGATGCAAGCAGAATTGACACCCTCAATAAACTCCTGGCAGGAAAGCAAGCTGTATCAAGGGCCTATAACAAAATAGTCAAGAACAAGAGTTTTGAAAAGGGAGAGATAGTCTGGAAAGCAGTTATGCCCCTTGGAACACATGTAGCTGGTTATGGAAAGTGGTCACCTACATGAGAAGGCCCTTTCATAATTAATCAGATCCTTGGAATGGGGGCATACAGGTTGCAGGATAGAGATGAAGAAATTCGTGCTGCCTCAATCAATGGCAAATGGTTAAAGAAGTTTCCAACCATGTGGGATTCACAGGCTGTACAAACAGATCCTGGGATAGAGAAGGGACAACAAAAAAAAAAAAAAAAAAAAAAAAAAAAAAAAAAAAAAAAATTTTGTTTAGAGTTTATCTTTGTTCTAAAGTTGTTTAAAGTTTGTTCCTTTTGTACTTTTTACTTTCTGTTTATTTCATCAAAAGAAAATTAACTTTATTTAAAATAGATAACCATGGGGCCTTCCCCATGGCAAATTGTTCATCATAAAGCAAAAAACTGAAAGGATAAATAAATAACAAAATCAAAACCCTAATTTCTTGAGGGTTTCTTGCAAGTTGGTTTTCTTAATGGAAATTTCTTTTTGAAGCAGCACCCCCTGATGAATTGAAGCCTCTGCAATCTCCAGGGCTGGCCTAGAAGCTGCAACCATGCTCTGCACAAGGAAGGTGGCCTTAGTCTTGGAGCTCAGTCCAGCCCCGAGCCTGTTCTGCACTTCCCTGCACTCTGCCAGCTACTTTTGAAGCTCTGCAATCTGATCCAGTTCTGCCTTCTGCTTTGCAAAATCAGCCAAGTTGGCTTCATGTGTGGCCTTGCAGAACTCAGAAGTTTTGACGGTGGGCTTGAGATCCTCATAACGATCGTGAAGGTTGTGCACATCCCTTGCCAAGCCAATGCTCATTTCAAGTATAGGTTTAGGGGCCATGTTCTGTCTGTGCAGCAGGTCCAAATCCTTCATCAGCTGGTCAATGGCTTCCCTATCCTTATCCAGCTCCGTAGACTGCCAGATCTTCAGCCTCTCCATAGCCTCCTCCACTGCCTTGGATTTTGCCTTGCCTACAAGGGAGCTAAGCATCTCCAATCTGTCTAGTTGTGCATCTAAGTCCATGGCTTCAAACTTTGCCAATTCTGGATCAGCAAAGGAGGCCATGGCAGATGAACCTGAGAGGGAATGAAGAGGCATCTACAGAAGAAAACATAAGTCAAACCCAAGCAGAAAAGAGAAGAGAAAAACCCGAAAGATGCAATGAACACTTACAGCGATAATTGGAGGCTTCAAGGGACTGGTCATCACTGCCTGGAAAGACAGAAACAGTTAAGGAAGCAAAACTAGAACAAAATTACAGAAAATAAATAGCAGAGTAAGAAGAAAATTCCCATCACTTCAGGGGCAGCCGCAACCACTTTCACTACACTTTCTAGAACTGCAACAGGTAATTTTGCCTGCTCCACAGGCTCGGATGCAGATTGCTCTGGTTGTTCCCTAGCTGCTGGAACAACAGTAGAATGTTCTGCCTCTGGACCAAGGCAATGCTCTCTGCTATCACCTCGGCAGGGATTTCCTCTTACAAATAGGTAGAAGTCAGGACAGAAGGAACAAAAAGGTAGCATAAACTAATACTGCTAAAGAAACAAGACTCACCTCTTATTCCACTGTCTTGGCCTTCTCCTGAGGCCCCTCTCCTACTTCTTCCAGCTCTTCCAGCTCCTTCTCTTGGTCCACAGCCTCAAAAGCCTCTCTCAGCTCTTCATCCGTGTCAGAAGTAGTAGTGGGAACTGCTCCAGTCCCTTCTAGGGCCACATATTCCTCTACAATCCTCTTTCTAAGTCTTTTTGACTTAATAGGGGGAGGAGAGGGACTTCTAGCTACAATAAACAGAAAATAAGCCTTAAGAATTATGGTAGAACAAAATTATGAAAAACTCAAAAAATGTCAAAATATACCTGGAGTCACAAGTTGGGCAGTTTCTTTTCTCTTTCTTCTAACAGAAGAAGTGGCCTCAACAGGAGTCTGTTCTGCCTGATCTTCTTCTTCTTCTTCTTCTTCTCCATCCCAGAAGGCAGCTTCAGATCCCCAGCAGCAATAACAGAGTTGACTGTGCAGGAAACAAAAGTCAAGGATTAATCCAGCAGAGAAATGATAAGAAAAACATAATAACAAGAAAACTTACCAAACACCTCTCCACTCTGGGCAGATTGGCTACCAATATTCTTTGTCAAAGAAGGATCTTATTGCAGGCAGAATAAAAGATTAACATCATCACTAAAGACAGAATAGACAGCAACAGACAGAATTGAAAAGTTACCTTCTATAACTTGCATATTGATGTCTTTGATGGTCTGCACCATGAATTTGTGAGTCTCCTCTTCTGTGTGGACAGTCCAGTTATCCCAACCCTTAAAAAGGACCTGAAGTGCGGTACTATAAGCAGGCAGATCACGCAATTTAACCTTCCACCAAGCGTCAAACTCGGCAGAACTGCAGGAACTCGGTTCCCATGAAGGATAAAGGGCATCTGCACTATTGTTGATCTTATTTACTGCACACCTTGCATCCTTGTGGACCTCCAAATCATCTGCATCCCTCCAAGAAGAACCCCTATTGCAGCTTCTGTCTGATTTAAGCGGAATAATTTGGGGGCAGCCTAGTTGTCTTGCGCATAAATTAGGGTGATAGACTTCTGCCCCCAAGTGGTAATTTGGAGGTTTTCCCTCTCCATGAAGCAGATCCCTAGGCAAGGTAACACTCAGGAACTTCTTCCTGAAGTCAGTTCTGGCTACCTCATCTTCTGGTTCCTTCTCAAAAAGCCAGTATCCAGGCTGGAACCAAGGGTATGTCCTTCTAATCACCACCTGCCACTGCGCTACAGACCTCTTAGTACAATGTCTGAAGAACATCAGGTACTCATCAATCCATCTCTTGGGCACTTCTGCTGACATTAAAGGTAGGGCCAGAACTTGGTCTTCAGGCAGAACTATATCCGGAAACCTCAGTTCCGGGAAATAAACTTACAGCCAGATTTGGATAATCCAGAACGCGCCGAGGGCAGACAGATTGAGAGGATTCTCCAGGGTGGCAGTGTGCAGATTCTTGAACAAAAGAGCCAGAACAGTAGGCCAAGTCCGACGTCAGTATGATTGTGTAAGGCCTCTGCCAAGTGTCTGTTCTCAAGCAGAACTACTGAGGAACGATTTGGGAAAACAAACCTGTTCAGCCAGTACAGGAGGAACAACATGGGTTATTGATCCTTGTCCTTCTCAACACTGAACTTCCTCAGATAATTGGAAAAAGAACAGTTCTGGTTGATCACGGCTGAAGAAACGGTGAAAGGCTTGGACAGTTTTTCTTGGTTATTCCTTCGATGATAATCCCCAACGGCATCAACAGGTCTTCTATGAGGCCTGAATCCGAAGATCTGAGCCATATCCAGCAGGGTTGGTGACATCGGGCCCACACGAAAATCAAAGGTATTGCTGGCAGAATTCCAGAAGCAGAGAGCTGCAACCAAGAGATTTTCATCCCTGTTAATGGACTGTTTAGACAGGAGGATGACGTCATAAATACCAGCCCGTTTCCAGTGAGCCCCAAACCGGGGAAGAAGCCTGTCAATCCAGTCAGCCTACTTGACTGGACTATTTCTCACTTCACTAGATGGGAACGAACGGCTCAAGTTCTTGCTAACCCAAGAATGAGAAGCTAGAGCAGAAGAACTTTCGAAACATAGGGGAGCTTCGGCGTCATCTTTGAACGGGTCCGCCATTTCAACAGGAACAGAACCAAACTAGTGTGGACCCAAGACCAGGGTATTCTGGAAGAGATTAAGGACATTCTCATCCAGGTTCTTTTTAGCAAAAGGATGGACCCTACTCCTGACCTCTATCGCGTGCTTATCAATCCCAGTCCCAGTAATATAATCTGGAGGAACTCGAACAAAGGAAGACTAAGCACGGGATTTCGGGGAAGACATCTCTCAGGGTTGTTTTTTGGTTTAAAAAGAGGAAGTTGACAGGAAAGGCAAGGCAGGTTCTAGCGAAAGGGAGTTGTCAAAAAGGAAGCTCAAAGGAGTGAAGTCTGAGATACTAGGTCTTTGGATGAACAGGAACAGTGGGTTTTGAATTTCTTTTAAAGAAGCTCGAAAACGTGGGAAAGAGAAGACAGGGACGTGGAAAACACAGGGCGTCATCTGATAAATGACTAGCTAATAAAGAGCTAGTAACTGAACAGTTTCCCACGAACTCTAGCTCAGTGGGAAGACGTGGCAGATGTGGGATAACGGAAGAAACTGGCACGAGCCAATTTAATGGTCAATTCATTTAAGTCTGAAACCGTTCCAAAAACGATTCAGACTTATGGGGCATTCTTTGGGCCTAAAATTGACACGCCTAGAGCAACAAAGGAGGCCCATAAAAAAACCACAAAACTCAAACAGTTGTCTTTGAAAAAAAAGGTGGGAAACAGAAGCCCAAAAACCAGAAAGGCCTAGCCTAAGATCTATCAAAACAAACAAGTAAAACTTGGGCCTCAAAAGAAAAGTCACCTTCGGGCTCTAGACAAAAATATACCCAGCACGATTTTGATAAAAGAAAAGACCCATTTCTTTTCAGAAAATCGCGTGACACCCTTTCATCAGATTTGGAAAAGTCAACAAAACCAGCCATTACAGAGATGATTAGAAAGGGTCAGTAGCTGGCAAAACTGGGAAGGGACATCTCTGAAATTCTGAAAGATCAAATCCCCTTACACATGAATATATTTAGAGATATTTCTTCTATTCAGAAGGTGATTTTCCCAAAGAGATAAGCAAACACAATCTCAGAGAAAGATAAACAGGAAAACAGGGACCTGTTCAAAACTGAGAATTAGACTAACCATCACGGTTCTCACAAGGGGGGCAGTTGGAATTAAAGAGGGGTTAGGTTCTTTTTCAAGAAAAACAGGGAAGTGATCTTAAGAACTGACTATTAAGAGCTTATCTACCAGAAATTGATCAAAACCCCCTTTCTTTACAATTAAAAATGAAAGATCTTTTTTAAGAAATTGCCGCCCATTATTTAAAAGAATTGCCCTACTCCAAATAACATCTCTTATAAATACAAGAAGGAGTGAACAAGGCAAAAAGACAATCAATCCAACACTCAAGTCATTAATCAAATAAACAACTCAAAATCAACCAGAAGCTCACTTGAATTCCAAGTGAAAACCAACTTTAGATCAGAATTCCCAAGGTTCAGACTTAGAAAATAAGTCATTCAAAACGAGATTTCTCTCATTACAAATTTGGTTCAGCAAAAAACCAAGACAGGTAGAGCTTGAGCTTTTCCCAAACATAAAAACCTCAACAAATTTTACAGTACAGTCTGTAGCCCACTAAAGTCCTCGAGAACAGCCACTTCTGCCTTTACAAACTGAAGAAGCCGCAGTTCTGCCCACTCAGAAGCCTTACAAAAGCTTGAAGTGTATTAAAGCTCTGCCAAAATTAACCTTTGGTATCGATCTACAACTGAAGCTTAGCAGCAGAAGTTGTTAACAGTCCAATCCAGCCCAGATATTTCCAGTCCAGGCCGGATCAAAATCTCCTATCTAGGCAGAAATAGAGTTCCAACTGTCCTTTCTTCTTTCTAGCTTGGATATTTATGTTTATAGTTTTGTAAAAGGCAGTTCTGCCTAAGACAGCTTAAATTCCATCAACCATTCTGGCCAGAACAACCTCTTTATACTGAGATAAATTGTTAAAGTCTTCACCAGTCTGAGGCAAGAAAAGAACTTACTTGGAAGATATTCCTTACCCAAATTCACAATCGCTTGTTTATGGAAATCAGTAACTTGGGGCGCAAGTTATCTATTCTAGAATAAGTCTGCTAGAATCTTCATTGCCAGCAGTGGCACGCTCATACACCAAAGAAAGCTGACTTGCTGACCAGTCAATGGTTCACAAGGCAGTGGGGAACTTTGCCCTTCCACCACAAGAGTGATCACAAAACGGGTGAACACCTATACCATTTAATCTTTACAAACATACTCAAAATAAACCCAAAAATCAACAATTGTATATTTTTTAATTTAATTAATAAGATGAAATACCTTTACTACCCTTTTTAGCATTAAATTAGTTTTGGATCTCGTTTAAATTAGAATGCAGAGAACATAAAAATTCCCTCTCCTCCTTCAAACCCTCATCTCTCCTTTGTTATCTCCCTTCTTCCCTCTCTCTCCCTTCAAAGTAAACCAAACAATCTCAGAGCCATGGACCAACTCAAGACCAATGAAACTTTAAAACTATTCTATAGCCATGGTAGAAAAATCCTCCCTCATCACACTGACGACAATCTCCGTTACCTCGATGACCTCAAACGTGTTCTTGCCGCCGATGCCTTCATTTCCTTTGCAGGTTAGTTCCATTTGCTTCAATTTGTTATTTTCCTTTTGATTGTTGCTTAATTTACTTGAATTTCAACTCTATTTCAGTTTCATGTGGCTACTCTGTAGATTTGAGGTGTCAATTGCCAGACAAAGGTGTTCAGAACACCAACGTCGGTGGTGATTGCGAGAAGAAATAAGATGAAGACGATTTCTCTTTCACCTACACCAACCCCAACAAATTGCCGATATATTCCAAAATGGCTAGATCTGTCTAGTGTTCGCGATTGTCAACCAGGATCTCCTAATCTCTAATGCCGACGACAACTATTGTTCCAAAGCCAGAGTGGCTACTGCTTAGTCTTCCTCTCTGTGGCCGCCATTGAAGAAGCTCTTATGAAACAACTGTTGTATCCTATGACACAATTTTATTTTATTTTGGTCGAATTGCCATTGGTACTTTGAGATGATATGAAACAATCAATTAATACTCATCTGTGGACTGAGCAATAACAAAATATTCTCTATCAAAACATGGCAACACTTTATGGGATGTTATTCTTTACGCGGAATCATAACATATTTTTATTAAGGAAAACCAAATTTGATCTCTTTTATCCTAAGCATACTTCTATTAAATTTTGAAACAACAAACAGCACAACATAGTCCAGGATCTCGAAACAAAATGTAAGATTGGTTTATTAACATGGCATGCCTGAAACAATTTTAAGTCAATCTAGAACATATATGCATGCTTCTCAATTTTATCTTGTTTAGACCTATAGATGCATATGACTGCTCTGATACCGCATGTAAGTTCTATTTCACATGTAATCTATAAGCACTAACCTTGAGAAGCCATTAGAGCAAGCACAGCAACAGCAGCAAAACACACGAACTGGCCTTGGTCTTCCTCTCTCTATGCACTCTAAATCTCTCTTGTATGGGTAGGAATATGAGTTTGTTTTTCTGTACATGAGAGTGGGACCGAAGCCTTAGTTTTATAGGTGAGAGCCTTGAGGTTCCTAGCCCATAAAGGAATCCTTAAAGCTTATCCTTATCACCACATGAATCCATAGCCTAATATAATAGATATTCCACAAGTGAGATAGAGCTTCAACTCTATCAAACTTATCCGTGTATACCCAGCTTACATTTCCTAAATAGATGTGAACTCAAATAGAGTTCTTACATTTCCTATATGTTTCTTAGATCTTAACATGGAGAATATCTCAAGAACCCATTTACAGGAGCTTTTTGGTAGTTTTTCATCTCCTGAAGCAGGGGGTGATAGAATACAAGATGCAGATACGAGTGATGAAGAATACCAGATTTATGATCAAGATAGTGATGACAAATTCTCTGATGAAAATGATTGCTAACATCTCTATGGTTCGGTCTAACTTCTCTCTTTCTTCTCTCTCTCTCTCTCTCTCTCTCTCTCTCTCTCTTCCATGTTGAAACTGCAGGTTGTGCAATATGGACATCATTTCACATGTACAAACAAGTTTTATGCTTTACTTTTCATGGCAGTAAATTGCTCATGGAAACTTGTCAAGAGGCCTTGCCTGCTATAACATGAAAGCTACACTAACTACCAATCATGGGAGTTTGACCATCAATATAGACCACAGCTTTAGGAGGTTCATCTTCTAGCCGGGACAATGTACACCAATGAGTTACAACTTGACAACAATGACTATGGCATGGTTCCAATAGATACAACGAAGGAGAATATGTACTTGCTTGATGAGCCTATGCCAGACTTCAGTTTCTTGTTCGAAGTATCGGCGAAGGTTTCCTTTTGAATATGCAAAACCACTCAACTCTGTGCCTCCCGTTGAACCTGTAACTCAGAGCACAAAAACAGGCGGGAAAAGCACTACTACTCCAACTGGTTATCATTAGATTTGTGTTCTTAAGATAATGATTGCTTTTTGCTTACATTTGCTGGGACAAATTTTTCTCTGATACTATTTTTCCGGCAAGTTAATTATTATTATTTTTATTTTTTATACTTTCAAGTTTCTTTAAAATTTGTCTTTTAATTTTCTTTATGGGCAAATAGTAATGTAAAAAAAATATAGAAGTTATATGTTAGCCAATTTCGCTATTTTGGAATAAAAGTTTTGTAAAGTGGCTATACACTACTACAATTTATTAAACCACGACTCAAAATAGACGACGGTGCATCTTAAAATCGTCGTTGTGTTTTAAAAGATGACGGTTTTACAAAACCGTCGTACTATATCATCTTAGAGCATCCCCAACCGATGTGTCAAAAGTGCCACATAGACATTTAACGGCTAGAAATAACATCTCACATCACTCCAATCGATGTGTCAAAGCTGATGTGGAATGAAGGCTGGAGGTTGAGATGTTATTTTTGACATTCCAAAAGCAAGATGTCAAATGAATATTTTATTATTTTTAAAGATAGTTGGTTGTTACTTTCATTTATTATTTTCATTTTTATATTTTTTTTCTTCTTTATCTTAAATGGTTTGACTGTTACAATAATTATTTATTTGACATATCGGGTGAAGTGTAAAACTATATAAATGTCAAATTACCACATCAGTTATCAAATTTAAATTTGATATTAGTATTTGACATCTTCCTTAGAGATGCTCTTATACACTACTATTTTGGGTTGATTTTTAAAACACTACATTTGTTAATTGACAAGCGGCATCTTTTAAAACACGCTAAACAAAAGGGTAGCTTATGAATTCGCCCTCGACCTAAAATTCAGATTTCCCTGTGTGAAAACTTTATCTCTCCCTCCTTGAAACCTCCTGAGCTCCTATCTCCTTCATTGAAACCCTCCTGAGCTATCTGAAACACTCCCTCTCTCACCTTTCTACTCCTCATACGTACCTACCAGCCATCGAGACAGCGACGCCGTCGACGCCATCGTTTTCTTCGCATCAGTCATCACCAGCCGCCATTGACGCCATCTTCACAGTCAACGACGACGATGTCCTTGAAAACAAATCTAGAGACCTTGCGAGAGGGGAAAAGCCTAGAACATCAGATCTGCCATCGAACCTCAGGCGACAGATCAGAGAGACAAAGGAGAAGATGAGCTGGTCTTCAATGTCGCCTGAGGTTCGATGGCAGATCTCCATCGCGCCTTCTTGATCATCGAACTCGCCATCCACGTCACAGATCTCGCCGTCTTGATCATTCTCTAGTTTGGTAAAGATTCATTCTCCCTTGGTAAACTTTTCAATTGTAGGTGAATCCAATCCAGTACGAATCAATTGGTAATAGAATTTCTTTCATTTTTTTTTTTTTTTTTTTTTTTTTTTTTTTCTTTTGAGCATCAATGAATGGGTTTGATGTCTAGAGTAGGAATCTCTTTCTTTGGTTACTTAGAAACCGAGCACACAGAAACAGAAGGAAATCACAGCTGATTTAGGCCAAAGAAAAAAAAAGAGAATGCGAATTGTAGATAATAAGAAACAAAAACAAAGCGCATGTCTAATTTGATAAGTTTTCAACTTGCAATTGTATTATTATTATTTTTTGGTACAAGCAGATCCATTTTGATGCAAGAATTTTGTATCCAGTTTCCATTGCTGGTTTTTGTTCATTGTTTGGAACGTCAGCACTAAGAATTCATTTGCAGCAAACTGAAAAAGACATATTGAAATTGATTTTTGTTCAGGTTAGTTTCCTCCGTATCAGTCTATTTTACTTTTAGTTTGGTTTTGAATTCATCAAATGCAGTGTTGTTTTCCTTTCCTTTGCCAGTAAGTATATATGATCTTCTGCTTTCCACTATGTTGAAAAAAAATTTAAAAAGGGAGTCGAGCCCCTTATGTTTGAGTGAGACCACCATGTATATATGTATCCTTTGGCTTATCATTGTTCCATTAATTGTGGAGGAGTTTAGGAGAGGACATAGTGGATTTGACAGAATATCTTGAGATCAGAGGATCATTTTATCCTGTCTTTGAATTGTGATCTTTAACATTTCTAAACACACAAGTTTAAGTTGTAAATTGTTTTTGTAATGTGGTTTTTCATTTGTTCTTCTGTGTCAATATTGATTTCGAATTTTCCATTAGTTTTGCTATTCTTCCTTTTATGTGGATAAAAGAGATTTATACTACTTTCATTTGTTTATTTTCTCTGGATTTTCGTTTGGGTTTTCATTGTTTTGGATTTTCTTTTCTACCTTTTGTCTCTACAGTTTGTTTGAGTTTTTATTACTTTTGGCCTAATCCAATTGTTTTGATGTCAACAGCAATGTGAAGGGTAACATTTGACGATGGGCAAAGGCTGAGGACAATGGATAGGCATGTAAAATAGCAGTTTTTCTTTGAGAAAGCTAATACTTTAATTTCACCCAGTAAGTCTAACATCCTTATAGTGTGTTTGGAAATTGTTTTAGCATGTCTGTTTTCAAAGAGATATGAGGTTGCAGGAAATTGTAGATAATTTCACCCAGTATGTCTGATTTAACAATGCATTTGTATGCTCTGTTCTGTTTTTAGTGCTCTAGTCTTATCAAGCTCATAAAGCAACTCTTAAGTTAGTCAAAATGTTCTTCTGTATTCTGTTACAAATGAACTTTTCCTCCATAAGCTTATGCTTGTACAAGATGGTGCATATTTTTTGTTAGCTAAGATGACAGCAAGATAATGTAATCTTATTGCGGTTTTTGATTGCTCAGGTAAGATGACATGGCAAATAGGTGCTGCAGCTTATATCGAGTGCAGCTCAAAGACCCAGTTGGTAGACAACTTAGAAGAATATATAAGATCCATTTGACCAAGATGACTTAGAACACTACTCCAAGATGACAGCTGAATGTGGAGAACAAGTACAAATTGTGGAAGATACAACAACTTTAGGTTAATGCTTTGGATATGGTATTTTGTAATTATAGGTTATAATGTTATAGATATGGTATTTTGTATGGATATAGTAGGAATCAAGATTGGTAAACAATGTAATTACAATTGAATCTTTAAGTTTTATGAAATAAATAATTTTTTAGTATATATATTGTTCAGAAAGCATTATGATTGTTTTTCTAGTTAAAATCGTTGTAGAGAATTGTTGAAAACTAAATAATAATAAAAAGCTAAAATGAAATCAGTTACAGATAATAAACGGTGGTTTTTTGGAACAAAACCGTCGTCTTTAGATTTAATAGACATCTTTGGATATAATAAACGACAGTTTTATTAGACAAACTATCGTCTTTACATTAAATAGACGACGGTTCGTTCATAAAAATTGTCGTCTTTACATATAATAGACAACCGTTTTTTGGAAAAACTGTCGTCTTTACATCTAATAGATGACGGTTCTTTTGAAAACCGTCGTCTTTACTTATAATAGACGACGGTTAATTACCGTTGTAGTTTGACATTTAAAAATATGACAGTCGATTTAACGACGGTTTGAAAAAGAAAAAGACGACGGTGTTTCTCCGTCGTCTATTTCAATTTTTGTTGTAGTGTGACTTTGGAAGAAGGCTCTACTGCTTTATAGGAAAATACTCTCTAGTAATCCACATGTTGTCCTCATATTTGAAACAATCTTCGGTCAAAGTCCCACTTTGATCAAAGGGTATTATTCATTTCAACATTTATTTAATTTTTTTGGCATTTCTTTTTCTCAGCTACTACTACAAAAAAGGAAAAACACGACGGGAATTCACCATCGTGTATTCTATTTTCAAATGGTCGTGGAATCCACCGACATCTTTTCCATAACAAAACCACGACGGTGAATAACCGTCGTTGTTAAAACAAAAAACGTCATCAAAAAATAAAAACCGACGTCTTTGTATTGCAAAAAGACATAAAAAACAGTCAAGGAGAGAATAGACGACCAACTCCAACAAAAAACCGTCGTTAAAAAGGAAACATATGACATATATTAACAGAACATGGCCGCAAGATAATCATACAACGACGAGAACTAAAACTTAACGTCGTTAAATAAATCTTTAACGACAAATAGAAATATGATGTCTTTACAATCATAATAGACGACGTTATTGACACCTACTACGTCACATCATTTCCAACAACCGTCGTAAAATAAATTTTCCACTTCGATTTTTCTATGAATTATGACGTGAAAATAGATGTCAGGGTCATTACTTACGACACATGTATTTACAGAGACGACGTTGAAATGAATAAACAACGTCGGTTCCAAATAAATGAGAGTCGTATTACAGAATTTATACGTCATATTTTGAAATATAATCGTTGTGTAATGACTCTGAAACGGCATCGTTTCTAATTCCACCGCTGTGTAAAATAATTTTAACGACAGGATCTGAAAATAAACGAAGTGGAAAAAATGATGGGGTCATTAAAAAAGACCGCCTTGTTTAATAGTTTCTACGTCTTCATTAAAAAAATTAACGTCGTCTAATTCATATATCTTAACGTCGACAAATTTAATGGACTTCAAATACCGTCGTGAATTCATCATTTTCCACTTTGCTTATGAAAGAACATGCGACGTGGTAAATTCATGACGACGTCGTCTTTTGTAACGTTCAGGTTAAAGATCTCGTCTTTAAGACGTCGGTATTATGGGATTGGAGTCGTGTTATTTTGAATTACATGGCGGTTCTTTATGCTTGTCCGACGTGTTATCCTGGATAACTGTTTCACAATAGCGTTGTGGTTCTTCATTGTTACGTTGCTTTAAGACGTCGGTAAATATATTGCGGTCGTTGAATGCTCCAAAACGTCGTTATTTATTAGAACAGACGTTTGTTTTTCACATTTTATCAAAACCGTCGTGTTTGTAATCTGGAACCAGTAATTTTTGTACTGATTGTTTTGTGGCCAAAACCTGTATAATGAAAGTGAAGAAATCACATTACAATATATTACAAAATTAATGTCATACACTGCCAATTACATAAAGCATCATTCAACCCATATATCTTCACACCCATCTCGAATATTTTGACTCCCTAACTCAACCACCACTTTATCAAATGTGTCAACATTTGGCATCTCTCTAGTAAATGGCTCACACTCAATTCTCACATCACCTAAGACATCATCACCAATAACATCATTATATTCTCTATTAGGCATTGATAACACTACCGACCAACCACGATGCATCGGGTCGTCAACAAAAAATACTTGTTTGACTTGAGAAGCCAAAACAAATTGGTCATTCCTATGTCCAATTTTACTCAAATCTACAAGGGTAAATCCAAGTTCGTCCACTACAAGACCAGAAATATTATCTATCCAATCACACCTAAAGACTGAGATTGTAAACTTTTGGTAGTCAAGGTCCCAAATTTCTTGAATGACACCATAGAAACCCATATTTGAAAGAATTGAGTTTTTATCCTTGGCACTAGCAACTTGCATAGTATGTGCAAGTAAATAAACTCCACTATTTTGAGTTGTCCGCACATCATCTTGTGCCTTGATGTTGAATTTAATACCTTTAATAAGATAGCTCCTATATAATGGCACTGCCATGTTTGGACCAGCTGCTAGCCACCTTAAATTTTCTGATACGCCATGATTGTCTTCCTCATTAAGTTCACTTTGAACCTGCAAATTAATCATAATTTAATTCAATCTAACATAGAAAGAAGAAAATTAAAAGTCCAATATGTTATTCAATAACATATACCTTGAAGCGTAGCCATTGAATGAAAGTGCTATTGTGCTTATCCTGCAGCCACTTTGTTCTCTTTCTAAATTTTGGATAAGCGGTCTTGATGTGGATCATATGTTGCCTACATGACACAAAAAATTCAAGTATTACGGTCCCAAACATATAAGATAAACATAAGAAATAATTTAAAATGGAAACTTAAAGAATAAAACTCATACGTACTCGATATAAGGTAGGACTTCCTCCGTATTCTCCAAGACATATAGATGTGCTTGGTTCAACAGGTCCCGATCAACTACGCTCACTGTGCAACCTGATAATGGCTTTGAAACTCCCATCTTTTGGCTTGAAGGCACTCCAACTGTACTAACATCAGATAAATGCTCGGTACAAAACTCTACAGCTTCTTCAGCTATATACCGCTCAGCAATGCAACCTTCGGGACAAGTACGATTCTGAACATACCCCTTTAGCACTTTCATATATCTTTCAAATGGATACATCCATCTAAAATATACTGGCCCACATAGACGAACTTCTCTGACAAGATGTATTACTAGATGAACCATGATATCAAAAAATGAAGGGGGAAAGTACTTCTCAAGCAAACACAAAGTAACTACTACATCTTCTTCCAACTTATCTAGCTTGGAAACATCAACAGTCTTTGCACATATAGCATTGAAGAAGAAGCACAAACGAGTTATTGCATACCTTGCAGGCTTCTCCAAAACAGAACGAATTGCCACAGGGAGCAATTGTTGCATTAAGGTATGACAATCATGTGATTTAAGGCCAAGAAGTCTTGAATCTTGTAAAGATACAAGATTTTTTATATTTGAAGAATAACCTTCAGGGACCTTCATACCATAGAAGAATTGCAAACCTCTCTCTTCTCTGCTCTTGACAAATTCCAAGGCCCGGGAGGCAAACGAGTACGTCTTTCTCCATACTCGGGTTGCAAATCAGTTTTGACCCCCATGTTCAATAAATCTAATCGAGCAGCAATCTCATCTTTATTTTTTCCAGGGATCTCCAGCAATGTACCAATGATACTATCGCAAACATTCTTCTCAATGTGCATAACATCTAGGACATGCCTCACAGGAAGGTATTTCCAATACTCGAGATCAAAGAATATTGATTTCTTCTTCCAACAAACTTTGTCACCATCTTCAACCATATGCAACACTTCTTCTCCGGTTAATGGCTCGGGAGGCGTGCCATATTCAGGTTTCCCATTAAAAGCTGCACGTTGCCTCCTATATGGATGATTGATTGGTAACCATTTTCTATGCCCAATGTAACAAATTTTGTGGCCATTTTTCAACCTGTGACTAGGTGTATCATCGCCGCATATTGGACAAGCTTTATATCCTTTAACAACACAACCGGATAAGTTTCCATAGGCGGGGAAATCATTAATTGTTCACATTAATGCAGCTCTGAGTGTAAAGTATTCTCCATTATATGCATCATACACTCCTCCAATCTCATCCCACAAAGATTTTAAATCATCAATCAAAGGCTCCAAGTAGACGTCTATATCATTTTCGGGCTGTTTAGGACCGGAAATCAATAAGGTCAACATCATGAACTTTCGTTTCATGCACAACCATGGAGGGAGATTATATGTAACTAAGATAACTGGCCAGCAACTATATCTGCTACTTAGAGAACTGTGGGGATTGAATCCATCAGATGAAAGAGCCAATCTCAAGTTTCTCGGCTCATTACCAAACTCGGGCCATTTATCATCAAGAAGTTTCCAAGACGGGGAATCCGCCGGATGAGACATATGACCGTCAATTGATTTTCTAGCAGCATGCCAAGTCAAACTCTTAGCTGTCTCATGTGATCGAAACATCCTTTTAAACCTTGGAATTGGAGGAAAATACCACACCACCTTCGCTGGCACACCCTCTTTCAAGATTGAATCTTTGCCTTCCTTCCACCTTGAGATACCACAAGTAGGACAATTAGTTGAATCCTCATACTCCTTCCTATACAAGATGCAATCATTGGGGCATGCGTGCATTTTCTCATAACTCAGCCCCAATGCACACAAAGTCTTTTTTGCCTCATACATAGAGGCCGGTATTGTATTTCCTTCTGGAAGCAAATCGCCTTGAAGTATCAATAATTCTGTAAAACAGACATCACTCATCCCATGTTTTGCCTTCAAATTATACAACTTCACTAATGCCGATAACTTCGTGTACTTTCTACAACCAGGGTACAATGGTTGATCTCCATCCCCAATCACATTGGCAAACTCATAAGGATCAGATCCAAAATCACCAACATCATTATCATCCATCTCTATTTCTTCAGACACAAAACTGTACTTAATATGGTCATCATCTTCTTCAACATTTCTACTAGCATTAGTAGTTGCTTCCCAAGGTTCTTCGTGAAATGTCCAATTCTTATAGCTTTGGTCAACTCCATTAAAGTATAAGTGATCCCTTATAATTCCAACCCCAAACAATTTCAAATTAACACATGGACAACGGATATGTGTTGTAGTTAGAAGATTTTCTACAGAAAAGTTCAAAAATGCTTCCACCCCTAACTCATATGCCTTCGATCTTCTATTCGAGTGCATCCATGACTTATCCATCTCCGACACTATACCCTATTATATATAATAAAGTGAAAAGACAAGCAATGACCATCACTATAGCAGATTATATAAAGTTCTAATAGCAAGTAATATACAACAGAGACGACGGTTTTTAAACAAAAACAGACGTATTTGACATATATAGACGACGGATTTTCAACAAACGTCGTCTACTTATAACCACGACGGTAGTTAAATAACACCGTCGTGTATAAGTAATACAAACGACGGTTTAAAGTAAAAACCGTCGTCGTATGCCTAAAAACGCATCGGTGTCCCAGTTTATTTTCTATATCCCAAAAACCTATTAAGAACACAACATATACATGAAACCAAGCATGAAACCAACATATACTAAGCATGAAAACAATAAATCCATTCCCAATTCAACATAACAGAGAGTGATTAAAAGATCCGACAAAATGAAATCTATTCCCTATTCAATATAACAGAGAGTGATCAAGAAAACATTAAACAGAAAATCCATGAACCCATACCTCCAACAACATTATTAACAGATCGCAAAACATATATCTAAAACCCTTTAACAAAACAACGTAATATCATTCAATGAATTTACAAGGGGAAGTGAGGGTTTGTACTTACAGGTTGGCAGAGCTCACAGATTATGGCCAAATTGGATTCGACACAGCCTGGAGAGCCCAACTTTTAATTAGAGATGAAGTGAGAGAGCGAAATGTTATGTTGCGCGAAATCTAAAAATTTTAGGGTTCAAGGTTAGAAGTATAAAACTAAGAGCCAAATCTGAAAATTTTAGGTCCCGCGAATATTTTAGAAAGCGTGCTCTTTAAAACATCGACCGAAAAAAAAACCGTCGTTAAAATTTCACATTAAACATGACACTTATTACATTAAGGACGTCGTGGTAAAACTATGTACGACGCAAAATCAAACAAAAGTCGTCAAAACTATGAAAAACCACGTCGGGGTTAAGTAAATAACGACGTTGTAAATAATAATAAACGACTCACTTGTAAAAAGGACGTCGTTTAAAAGAGAAACCATGGCGGATTTTTCACTATACGATGTAAACTCCGTATTCCACGGCTCAATCACCGTCGTTAAAAGTAATACCCTAAAATTTAAAACCCTAAATTATATATTTGTAAAATATAATTTTATAAAATTGTTTATGGTTTTACAGCCTAATATATAACAAACATAAACCCTAAACCCCAAAAATTATACTTTAACCCTAAACCCTAATAAATAACAACCATAAACCCCAAACCCTAACCCATAAACCATCAAACTATATAAGTGATGTTATGACTCATCAAAACAATTTTATTTTGGGTGGTCATTTTAAACTTTTATTACTCAAACTGCATTTTTTTGAGGTTTAGGGGGAAGAAAATATATCAATGACTTCATAGGAGTTGACGTTGCATTTTTTGGATTTATTTTAAATTTATTTTGAATATTTTGAATTAAAAATAATAAAATATTCTTTTATCAACAACAAACCACGTCGGGGTTAAGTAAATAACGACGTTGTAAATAATAATAAACGACTCACTTGTAAAAAGGATGTCGTTTAAAAGAGAAACCATGGCGGATGTTTCACCATCCGACGTATACTCAAAGGACGTCGTTTAAAAGCGAAACCATGGCGAAATTTTCACTAAAACGACGTCCCATGTACGTACAAACGGTATATCACGTCTAAATATCCTTTTACGTCGGTTTTTGACATAATTATGTCGTTGGAAAGTTATTACACGTCGGTTACGCAATTTGTTTTTTCTTTTAAATTATGAAAACCTCAACAAATTTTCAGGGAAAAAAAGGATGTATATTATAGACAAAATTTGTACATTATATATTATAGACAAAATTTGTACATATAAAAATATCAAGTGTTCCAAAAATCCTCTATTCCATATGAAGGCAAACAAGATCTGCCCATTCATTCCGAACTTCATCAATGGCTTCTTGGGGGTATGGCGCTTGCTCTTTTCCCTTGGCAAACTGCAATCCATAAACAATGATTATTAAGCTTTACAAAATAAAAAGAAATTCAGTCACAGACGACGCTTTTTTTCATAACGGACGTAGTATATCGATTCAACGACGGTAATTTTAAAGTACCGTCGTTGATAATACAAAAAACCACATAAAATGTTTCTGAAAATTTTCTTCTTACCTTCTTCTCAAACTCCAAGGAAGGATCCATGATGATGTCCCTCATGAAGCGCATCACATAATACCCGCATTCGACACTGCTGGGTTGCTTTGGTGTGCCTGGCAGAGTTTTCCAAATTGGTGCTTTACGGCCTGGTCTGCCTATGTGGGAATTATAAATTTTTAAAGCACTGTTCACAATGTTTTTGCCCTCCTCATCAACCACACGATTTCCAGGCAGAGGATCCAGAAAATAGACGGTTTCCCTCTTTGCTCTCACAATCAGCAAGACCCAATGACGGCTGCACAAAATTAAAATAAAAAACGACGGTTAATATAAAAAGTCAACACAAGAAAACAAACGACGGTTATTTATAAAAAAACGACGTATTATAGAGTTTCACACGACGTAATAACGTAGCAATCGACGTCATTATAAATTTATCACGACGGTAATTAACTATCGACGTGGTTAGTTGTTTCAAGCGACTCAATAAATAAATAACCGACGTGGTTAGATGTTTCAAATGACAAAAAATTAGTTAAACAGTTTTATAAGGGGTCAATTAGTGAAAATCATACAAACAAAATCCTTTTAAGGAAACTAACCCTAGATTGTAAGGCATCATGAAAATCTGTTCACCATCTGTTTTCTGAAGTCGACTGGCTACAATTCATGATCTGTCAGTTAGTGACCCAGCGTTGGCACTAACTTGAGCAGGGTTGATAAAGCCAACCATGGTGCACATATTTGCTTCTCTCAAATGATCATATAAGCACCTAAATATATAAAACAAAGATATATAAAAAAGTCAGCCCAAAAAAACACGACGGTTATTTATTAACAAACAACGTATTATACAATTTCACACGACGAACTGAAATAGAAACAAACGTTATAACTAATTTATCACAACGGTAAAAAAAGAACGACGTGGTTAGTGGTTTAAAACGACGAAATAAATAAACCACCGACGTCTTATGCTATAATGTTTTTTTTCTCATACACAAATTTGAGTGTGAATTAAATATTTGATAAAGACAAACCTCATATATACTGCAACCACAGTAGCCCCAATTTCTTCCATGCCTGAAAACTGTGTAATATCTTCAGGCAAGATGAAGGTACTGCGATATGCACCAAACACCTCCTTCTCAATTGTGAAGGTCATGATCTTCTCCTGAGGCTTTAGTGTCGTTTCCACATAATGACAAAGGGATTGTAAGGAAGATGGCACCTCCAGATTTGAATAATCAACTACTTCATTACCCTGTTTAAAGAAATAAAGCAAAATAAAATGACGTGGTAATTCAATAAAAACGACGGTTTAAATAAAAACACGTCGTCTGATAATAATTTAAACGACGGTAATAAAAACAATCGTGTTAAATAATTTATTACGTCATAGAAAACAAATTCCGACGTCTAATTTAAAAACAAACGACGGTTTAAAGAAAAATATCGACGTCTGAAATTTGAAAACAAATAAAAAAGGCAAAGTTATGAGAATATACCTCTTCGTCATGCTTTTCTTCATCTTGTTTTTCTTCTTTCTTCTCTTCATCATTTTTGTCTTCATCTTTTTTCTCTTTTTTTTCTTCCTTCTTCTCTTCATCTTTTTTTTCTCCCTTCTTCTCTTCATCTTTTTTTTCTTCTTTCTTCTCTTCATCTTGATTTTCTAAAGCCCCAGATTTCTGTTTTCAGTAATAAAGAAATATATATATAAGACAGATTGTATAGAAAGTAAAAAAATTATTAAACGATGGTAAATAATAAACGTCGTAGGATTTGTCTATTACGTGGGTAAGGACTAAAACCGTCGTCTAAAAACCACAAAGTACGACGTCTAATGGCGTGTAAAACAAGTAAACTAAATACGACGTGGTATTTAAATAAAAACGACGGTTTATTTATAAAATCGTCGTGGTATGGTTTTAAAACGACGGGTTTATTCATAATAACGACGTCTAATAGTTTTTAAAAAAACAGAGAATTCAAAGTTCAGATATGTTACCGTTTCTTCCTGCTGTTCCCCATTTTTGGCAGTATCATCCTCTAAATGTAGGGATCTTACATCAGCCCCAGAACAGCTTGCTTTGTCAGACATTGGATTTTTGGGACTTTGCTCTACACCTTGGTTTTCACAGGGGCTAGTTTTCGGTTTAAGCATGCTTGGATCAAAATTGGGGATGAGTTGGGAAAGCTGACTTAGTAAATGTTCCCTCTCAGCCTCTACCAATTGCTTGGTTCTAGCCTCCATCCTTAAAGTCTCTTCCCTTGATCTAGCTTCCATCTTCTTAGTCACTTCTTGAACGACAATTCTTACACTTTCCTTCAATTGATCGGCAAACTTTACCCTATGTTGTCTAGGTAAATTGAAGAATTGCCTAGGGGAAATCCTAGGACCTACCCCTCTTACTCTCCCTGGATGCTCGGGACCCAAAGCCAAGGTCAACACATCATTACTGCCAGATACACTAAGACTGCCTTCAGCCACTTGTTTTTGCAATTCATCCTAAAACAAAGACATATAAAAAATTCAGCACAAGAAAACACACGACAGTATTTATAAACAAACGACGCATTATATAATTTCACACGACTCAATAACATAGAAATCGACGTTATAATATATTTATAACGACGTGGTTAGTTGTTTCAAACGACGCAATAAATAAACCATCGACGTCTTATGCTATAATTACAGAAAACATAGCAGTGATTCCATATTCAGACCTTTAAGTTTTTAAAACATTTGGACGTAGTAATATCATTCACACGACGCAAAAATTAACCACCGACGTCTTATGCTATAATTCAAGAAAACAGAGTTGTGATTCCAGATTTAGATCTTTCACAACGTTTTTTAAAACATTTCGACGTAGTAATATAATTCACACGACGGAAATATAACATAAGACGTAATAAGAATTATACACAGTTTAATAAAAATTTAAAACAGAGTGTGTAGGCTTACAATTAATTTTGCTTTCTTTGCCACCTTTGGATCCGGGATGTTACCATGTTTGTCCTGTCTAGCTTTCTTCCATAAGGTAGATCGATCAATTTCTACCCCAGGCATGGTTTCCTCCAATTGATCCTCCAAACCAGCATATCCTTTTCGAGACAATCGATGATTGTACTCAAGTTTCTCCCTAATCTGTTAATGTTGAGAATGCACAGACTCAAATTCTTTGGATAACCTTGAAGCTACAAAGGCATCCCATTCTGCTTTCTCTATGAATTTATATATTTCAGGGGGTTGGCTTAATTTCTCCCTCTCCTTGATGTATGGAAGGATATAATGCCTCGTCAGTGTAGACTTGAAATCCTTCCATTTCTTGGCAGCAGAAGATAACACGAGGTCTTGCCCCCTTGACCTACCACAAAAGCCATGTCAACGGCTTCCCAAATCTGCTCCTTTATATCCTTGGGGATTTCAGCCCATTTCTTGTCCACAAGTGGGACTCTGGAGCGTGCCAACACACCAATGTAGGACTGCATCTCAGTATGTGCAGGGCCACATCCTTTCCCCCCTTTTATTGTACTCAACAACTGGCTTGATTTTCTGCAATTTTCTCTTCACAACACGAGGCATTGTGCTCATACCTCGACCTGACTTTGAATCCTCAGAAATTGTTGTCGTGCTGGTTGGTTCTGTCTCAGCAGATGAAACAAACTTCATCTTCTTCAAGGGCTTGTCTTGAGGAGTTACCATTCCAAGCTCCTTACCTTCATTTTTTTTTGGAGCCAGAGTCCTTACTTTGGTCTTGAGAAACCATGGTTACAGAAAAAACAAACCTGCAAGTGAAAATATTTCAGGAAAAAAATAAGAACACAAACGACGGTTATTTATAAAATACGACGTATGATAAGATTTTACACGACGTAATGACATAACATCAGACGTAATAAATGTTTTAAACGAGAGTACTTAAACAACGACGAAACAATATTAAAGAAGACGTAATAAGAACTTATTACGGCGATATTTACACGACGTCGTGATATTCAAATTCACACGATGTAAATATTAATATAACGTCGTTTTATGGATATTCACACGACGTAAATAATAAGATACCGTCGTCTTTATAAGAATCCAAAAACATTTTTCTTTCTGTGTGAATGTTTGATTGCAGGTTTAATTTCTCTGAAACATGGTTTTTGTTTTTCCTAATTTGATAAAATACAAAGAAAAAGAAAGAAAGGTTTGGCATCTTTTATTGACGACGGTATCTTAGTATAACGTCGTGGTATGAACATTCACACGGCGTCAATAAACGAAAACCATGGTTCAGAGAAATCAAACCTGCAATTAAACAAGCAAATAAAAAATCGACCGTCATTTTAAAAACAACTTAGATCAATTTTAAGACGACGCTAAGACGACTGACGAACCGTCGTGGTCTACATATTTAACCACGTAAATAAGAAGCTACCGTCGTCTTATTTAGTTGAAGTAGTTGTGTTCAAAGTTGGAAACTTTCCCTCTTTGTCTGTGTATTTTATCAAACTTGGAAAGCATAAAAATGATTTTCGCCATAAAAAAGGTAAAAATATTTTCAAAACAAAAACCGTATGAGCATGCAAAATAGCAACAAAAATAGTGAGAAATGAAAGCTTACCTTTTGCGTGCAATGAAAGCTTTCTCTCGGAGTTTGGTGTTTAAGTTCAGAGACGACGACGAAGACGAGAGGAAGACGATGAGATACTCTGATAGTGCTCTGACAAGGAAAAAAGACGAAAAGTTTTCTCTGGGAGATTGAAATTTTTTCTCGGGTTTGGAAACAGTGCATGTGTAAGTCAGGTAGACAAAAAGTTGTATGTATATCAAATACGAATATAAAAACAACGACTGTTTTTTGTTATACCGTCGTTTTTTCTTGTCGTCTTAAGTAAGACTAAGACGACGTAATGTATTTGTTAACCGACGTGGATTATTTTTTAAACGTCGTTATGTGTAATATAACCGACGTGGATTTGGTTTTTTAATTATAAATAGGGTTTTTTTCCACGGTTGCTTTCATTTTTAGTTTTCGATTAGGGTTTCAACTTCTTCTTGCCCCTTTCTCTGTCTCACCTCATCTCTTAGGAGGCAATTGTTTGAATGTTGGTTTGTGTGATTCACAAACATACACACATCACCAATTTTCAAAAAATTGTCTCTCTGATTGCAAATCTGTGGCTGCCGTCGTGAAGTTTTAGGAGGCAATTGTTTGGATGTTGATGTGTGTGTGCGTTTGTGTAGATACACAAACGCACACACATCATCCACTTCCAAAAAATTGTCTCTCTGATTGCAAATCTGAGGCTGCCGTTGTCAAATTTCAAAAGCAATTTTTTGGATGTTAATGTGTATGTGCGTTTGTGTATCTCAAAGACACAAATACACATACATCATTAACCTCTAAAATATTGTCTTTCTGGTAAGATTATGATGAGCAACAGAGTTCCATCTTGTAAGATTTCCTAACCCTTGTGATCTCAGAAAAATCTGATTATGTCGGCGGTTTTCTATATAAACCGTCGTGGTTATTTCAATTCTTGTCATTAAGTAGATCTACCGACGTAGGATAACAAAATCCAAGAAATAAATTGTTAAAAAAAATTCTTATTCAGACGACGGTTTAAATATAATGTATGACGTATAAAGTGGATAAATACGACGTTAAATTGTATAATACGTCGTTAAATTAAAACCCCAACTTGGTGAGATTCAAAGATATCGTCGTAGAAATACGAGAAAGACGTCGTTATATTTATCTTGGCCGTAGTTGTACATTAATTTAATACGGCGGTATTTTGTATTTTACCGCCGTGGATTTATTTGTAATTATACGGCGCCTTATACGAAAACTTGGTCGTGTTAATTTCTGGGTAAAAACGGCGGCTTTTTTTGAAATCGTCGTCTTTACTTTCTACGTCGGTCGGTTCATAACTTCCGCCGTTATTTGTTGGCTATGATTTTACCACTTGGAAATCCTATTTCAATAAGACGTCGGTTTTTTAATTAGGTACGTCGTGTTTTAGGAACAGCCATTTGAATCTCCATTTTTTAGTTGTCTAAGGTGTTATTACACGGCGGTTTTATAAAACCGTCGTCTTTTAAAAAACAACGACGGTTTTCACTTAGACCGTCGTTTTTTTCTGGTCGTCTTTGTCACTTTTTGTAGTAGTGAGCCCAAGTGTTACATTCAAAGATCATAGTATTTTCAAATGGCATAAACATTATAAGATAAATTATTCTACATTTTTCTTTCAAACATTTGACATTTCTACAAAACTCCAAACATAAGAGTGCTCATTAATTAAAGACAAAGTGGGAGACAAATAAAGAAACCCTAATCCTATGATCATTCCTTTTTTAAATTTAAAAATTAAAAATTAAAAATTCCTCTAGCAAAGCATCATCCACAGAGCAAAAGACCAAGTCTCATGCTGCCCCAAAAAGGTTCAATTCTTTTGACCAAACCAAATCCTTTCTTACCTAAAATCAGATATATATACAACAACCGGGAAATATCTCACGTTTCTCACGTTTGATAATGCTGGGAAAGTAACCGGGAAATATCACTTTATTTCCTTTTCCATATTTGTTTTGAGTTGGAATGGAAAACAAGTTTGTATAAATTTCAATTATACCCATATTAAATCAAATAAAAAAAAGAATGCATTTAATGATATATTGTAATTCTAAATTGTTAATGGGGATAAAATGGTCATAAAAATATGTATTTAATGTTAGCTCGTTTTCCCAAACTTTTCCATGAGGTGGAAAAACAAAACCTAAGTTGGGAGGATGACTTCACTTTCCCATAAGTCAGGCAACGATTTCCCATACCTAGACTTACCAAACATAGGAAAACAATTGATTTCTCATTCTCAAGTCTCATTTCCCATGAACCAAACGGGGCCATAGGGTAATGTAAGTGGACAAAACAGGAATGAGAACATACAATTTTTAATAAAGTAAGTGTAAGTGGACAAAAAGGATCGGAAAGATCAACTCCCATTAATATTGAAGTGAAAAAGAAAATAAAAGAGAAGGTGAAAATAAAGATGCTTCATTATTGTCGACCTTTCCTGGAACGAGTATGCCAAAGTAAGCATTCCACGTCAGTATCCCCGACCAATTAACTCCTAACAGCTGTCAATTACTTTTGACACTTAAATTTTTTTTCGTTTTCACACCTGCTCCGCCTTCCGTGTTCTTCTCTGCAACTCAAATCCCTCTTCTTCTCTCTCCCTCTCCTCTCTCAATTACTAGCTCTTATATATTACCCAGCTTCATCTTTCTGAAATTTTTTGATAAAAATTGATTGGTTTGCACTATTATTGATAAAAATTGATTTTTTTTAATTTTTTTTAATTAGTATTGGAAATACGAGCTTGTGTGGTTTTGGTCGTCTTCGTCATTGCACTCTGGGGATAAGATTAGCGGACTGATTGGAATGTGTGTTGACTATAAGTCAATGTGAAGGCAAAGCAAGTTCACAGTACCACAATCATCTTATAAAACACATGCATATGGAAATAAAATACCAAAAGCATCTTTTTATCTTTTTATCTTTTCTAACATCATTATAATAAAGTTTGTATTTCATTATTTTCAGCCTTCCCAAAGTGAATGCAGGTTAGACTAGTCTAAGTTTTGGGGTAGGATTCGTGCGATGGATAGGCTCTATGAGCTTGTGTGGTTTTGGTCGTCTTCGTCATTGAACTCTGGGGATAAGATTAGTGGACTGATTGGAATGTGTGGTGAATGTGTGTTGACTATAAGTCAATGTGAAGGCAAAGCAAGTTCACAGTACCACAATCATCTTATTAAGAACCAATATATCCCAATTCCCTTGTGTTGTTTGTATTCACTCTCCCAACAAAAACCATGGCTGATCTTGCATTTCCTTTGGCAACCAAACTCATTGAAAAGCTCGGGTCCATTGCTTCTGAGCAGATCTGCTTGGCATGGGGCGTTAAAGCTGATCTGAAAAAGCTTCAGCGCACGATGTCCATCATCAAAGATGTTCTCTTGGATGCCGAACAAAAGCAAGCACATAACCAGCAGATACGCAGTTGGCTAAAACAGCTTAAAGATGCATTTCTCGATGCCGAGGACTTGTTGGATGAGTTTGAGTGCGAAGCTTTGCGGAGGGAAGTGGTGGAAACATTTCATGGCACAACTGGAAAGGTACGCCGTTTCTTCTCTCGTTCTAATCCAATCGCATTCCGTTTCAGAGTAGGCAATGAAATCAAGGAGATTAGAGAGAGGTTAGATGAGCTCAAGTCCAATAAGCCTATATTTGATTCTCTCACCATTCTTCCTCATGGAGATGGAGGTGATCATCATGAAAGACCCTTCGTTCCTGCTTCAAAGGTTATTGGTAGAGAGTCTGAGAAGGAAGAAATTGTAAATTTGTTGATGCAACAAGGTGATGATCATCAAAGTGGGAATTCTAATAATAAAGTCTCTGTCATTCCGATAGTGGGGATTGGAGGTTTAGGGAAGACCACACTTGCCAAGTGGGTGTACGATGATAAAAGGGTCGTTGGGCATTTCGAATTGAGGATGTGGGCATCTGTTCCGGTGGACTTTGAACTTACTAAATTGACAAAACTAATTCTTGGTTCTGCAATAGATACAGAGATCAGGGATAAATTGACTCTGTATCAGTTGCAAGGAAGGCTGCGTGACGCTTTAAAGGATAAGAAATTTCTTCTTGTCTTGGATGATGTTTGGAATCATGATGCTTTGAAGTGGAGTCAGTTGAGAGATCTAGTGATAGAGGGAGCCAAGTCAGGAAGTAAGATTTTAGTGACGACAAGAAGTACCGCAGTTGCTGAGATCATGGGTACCATTCCAGCAAACATTTATTTAGAATTTCTTTCTTTTGAGGAGTGCTTGTCATTATTTGTAGGATGTGCTTTTAAAGAGGGACATGAGAAAGAATATCCTAACCTCTTTAAAATGGGAGAAGATATTGTCAGAAGGTGCGGAGGGGTTCCATTGGCAGTGAAAACTTTAGGGAGTCAACTATGCTCAAAGACTGATGAACAGGAATGGAAATTGGTGAGAGATTCTGAGATATGGGAATTGAAACAAGAAGATGATGGTCACATTTTACCTGCTTTGAGATTGAGTTATACCCGATTGCCTCCTCATTTGAGACAATGTCTTGCTTACTGTTCCCATCTCCAAAAGGGCATGATTGAATTTAATAGTTTTCAATTGATCAGATATTGGATGGCACATGGAATCCTTGATCAGTCTCATGTTCATGGGAATATGGAGTTGGAAGATATCGGAGAGCTATATTTTAAAGATCTATGGGCGAGATCCTTCTTTCAAAACATTGTTGATTATGGCATTAACTACAAATTTGATATGCATGATCTTATCCATGATCTTGTACAATCAGTTGCTCAAGGTGAGTGTTTTACAGTGAAGTCTGCAAACACCAAAGGCATATCTGAAAATGTTAGACATTTGACAGTTTTGGAAGTTGACCAAAATGTTTCAACAACCTTGCAAAAGTTGAACAAAGTGCGAACTGTAGCAGCAGACATAATAGACATTGATGAATCCTTCCTTCACACTTGCTTTTCAAGATTCAAGTATTTTCGAGTGGTTGAGTTACCTAGATGTTCATTACAAGTGTTGCCAAGTTCCATCGGTTCCCTGAAACATTTGAGATATCTGAACTTGGGTTATAATGAAGCAATAACGAAACTTCCCAATGCAATTTGCAGACTGCAAAGCTTGCAAATTCTAAATCTTGATGAATGTGAGAATCTTGAAGAGTTGCCCAGAGATATAAGCAAATTGATCAAGCTCACATCACTTTGCTTAACGACAAAACAAACAAATTTTACAGAGAATGGGGTGGGATGCTTAAAATCACTTCGATATCTTAGTATTGTCAAGTGTAGTAATTTAACCTCTTTGCCGAGTGAAACGAGCTATCTTGCTTCCTTACGGACTCTGGCGCTACACAAATGTGAACAATTGGATTTGGGGAACGTGAACTATCAAGGAACTCCACTGAGGCTTCAAAAATTGTGGATTGCACAAGTACCACGGATAGTGGTATTGCCTGAATGGTTTCAAGGAGCTGCTAACACCCTTCAATTCTTGGCTATTGACGAGTGTGAGAATTTGGAGGTATTACCTAAGTGGTTGGCAAGTTTCACGTCACTCAAAAAGTTGGTCATTTTTTCATGTCAGAAATTGTCGTCTCTGCCAGAGGGGATGCGTTCTCTTACCTCCTTAAGAGAACTTGTGATTCATGATTGTCCTGAATTGGAGAGGAGATGCCAGTGCGACATTGGAGAAGATTGGCCCAAGATTTCTCATGTGCCACATATTTCCTTGTCCTCTTTTGATTGATTTCTCCATATATAATATATGCGAACAAGGTGGGTCCTCTCATGTGTTTGTTCTATACTAATTTCTAGTTTCTTTCTTCAGTTGTCTCAGTCTTTCCTTCTTTTCATTTGTTTGTTTGTTTTCTTGTGTCGGGGTACTTACTGGGTTTTGTTTTATTTATTTAGTTTAGATTGTGTCGTGCTTAGATCAATTTGATTTTATTTTATTCAAGTTGTGGGGTGGATGACCAAAAATAAAAGAATCGTCTTTGTAAATAATAGTTATGGACATGTGTGGTGTGGTGTGCACAACAACTTTGTTTACTTTCTTTGTATCGCTTGCTAATTCCAGTATTGTATATATGCAATGTGATGAATGATTTCATCCATAACATCTTCTCAAACTACCTTAATATTATGATAATCTTTATTTATTTGTTTGTTTATTTCTTATTATGTGGTGTCTCCTCAGCTACATGAAAAGTTTTACATTCGAATGTATAACTTGTCAATGTCATCAGGCTGCGAAAGCAGAGGAATACAATCAGATTGGCACTGATTATTGTTCTCCGTTAAATTTTACTCTCATCATTAAGGAATTCTTAAATAAAAAAAAAGGGCCCTGCACCTATTGTGGAGGAATGATGCAAGATCCTCATACTAAAATTTTCATTTTTCATTTTTCATTTTTCATTTTTTGTTTTCATTTTTTTTTACCATTCTTTCTCATTCACCAATTACATCACCCCACATACATTGCACTTCAATCCTAAAATTTGCATATGGGACCTCTTGACTTGGAACTGGCCGATTGAATCTTGCATTCCCCCGCTAACTACTCCGAGCCTCGATACATCCAACCAGTGGCGAATCAAGGAATTTTTCGTATTAGGGGCGAAATGTGGAAGCGCAAAGCATTTAATTTTAAGAGAAAAATTATAAATTTATAGAACCCATGACAAAATATTTGTGCCCCATATAGACATATGAAATGAAACTAACTTTAAACACTTTGTCCCTTTTAGATCCGTCACTTATTTTTGTCAACAGATTGCCCCCTTCCTTCCTATTTTCTCTCAAGAATTTTCTCGAAGACTTTGCCCCCTTCAAGCAGAACTTCAAAGAACATTATGGGAGACTTCAAGGGTAGCAATAAGGGTGAATGGGGGCTATAGCCTTCACTCGTCCCTTGTTAGATCCACCATTGCATCCAGTTCACCAAAAATTAATTATAATTTTGAAAACTCACCGAAAAATTTACAAGTTCTTTGTAACATGCATGTTCATTTTTATGACCTCAAATCCATAATTTGACCCCCAAAATAAATTCATTTCCACGTTCCATATAAAACTAAAAAAACTGTTACTAAACAAGTTTTAAACAATTTTCAGTTTTTCTTTTATTTTAAACAGAAAATAGTTATTATGTTTCCAGTAAAAGAAAACAAAACTGGTTTTCAAACATGAAGCAGATGCAGTGCTCAGTATACCAATGGGATATGTATTACGGAATGATGACAGGTTGGTCTGGCACCATGAGAAAAAAGGTTGCTACACAGTACGAAGTGGGTATTGGCTTGCTTGTGCAATTCGAGATCGTGAAGATGGAGAGGTGGGTGCATCTAACAGCAACTTTGAGAACATTTGGTTGAGATTATGGCGGATGCAAGTGGCTAATAAAGTCAAAGTATTTCTATGGAGATGTATGCATGAGATTCTACCATGTCGACAAAAACTTTTTTTGAAGCAAGTAGTATCTAATCCTATTTGCCTTCGGTGTCACCAAGCACCGAAAACAGTACTACATGCTTTATGGGATTGTCCTGCAGCCCGTGAGGTATGGCAGTTTTCAGCTCTTCAAGATTCATGCAACTCAGCTTATTATGGATGCTTTCTCAATCTATTTCACTATATCTTGACTGTCTTGACTGATAAGGAACTTAGACACTTTGGGTATATTTGTTGGAATGTGTGGAATGGAAGAAATACTCAATTGTTTCAAGGCTATAAGCCCAATGCTTTCCAAAGTTACCAACACATGCAGGAGATGGCAGAAGAATTCTATCAAGCGAATTGCACATCTTCACGCTCGACTCAAGACGGAAGCAACCGGGTGGTGAATTGGGAGAGGCCTCCTGCTCAGTTCGTTAAAATTAATGTGGACGGGACTCTAAAGACATACGATAGTGTTAGAGTGCTGGGAGTTGTTATTAGAGATGAACGTGGAGAGCTGATTGCAGCAGCAGCCAAACCAGTGTGTGGCATGTTTACCCCCAATGTTACTGAATTATTCGCAATCAGATTTGGACTACAACTTGCTAGGGTCTTGGGATTGAAACATATTTACCTAGAGTCAGATGCACAAGCAGCAATACGGATGGCTTTCCAATGCTGGGAAAGTAACCGGGAAATATCACTTTATTTCCTTTTCCATGTTTGTTTTGAGTAAGAATGGAAAACAAAGTTTATATAAATTTTCAATTATACCCATATTAAATCAAATAAAAAAAAAGAATGCATTTAATGATATATTGTAATTCTAAATTATTAATGGGGATAAAATGGTCATAAAAAATATGTATTTAATGTTAGCTCATTTTTCCAAACTTTTCCATGAGGTGGAAAAACAAAACTCAAGTTGGGAGGATGACTTCACTTTCCCCCCTACTTTCCCATGAGTCGGGCAACGATTTCCCATACCTAGACTTACCAAACATGGGAAAGCAATTAGGATAGTGTAAGTGGACAAAATAGGAATGAAAATATACAATTTCCAATAAAGTAAGTGTAAGTGGACAAAAAGATAGTAGAAATATCAAGTCCCATTAATAGTGAAGTGAAAAAGAAAATAAAAGAGAAGGTGAAAATAAAGATGCTTCATTATTGTCTACCTTTCCTGGAATGGGTATGCCAAAGTAAGCATTCCACGTCAGTATCCCCGACCAATTAACTCCTAACAGCTGTCAACTACTTTTGACACTTAATTTTTTTTCTTTTTCACGCCGGCTCCGTCTTCCGTGTTCTTCTCTGCAACTCAAATCCCTCTTCTTCTCTCTCCCTCTCTTCTGTCTCATCTTACTAGCTCTGATATCAGCCACCTCAACATTTATTTCGATTTATGCTATTCTTTGAATTCTAATAATTGGCTAGATTATGCTATTCTTTGAATTTCTTCTGATATATATTACCCAACTTCATCTTTCTGAAATTTTTTGATAAAAATTGATTGGTTTGCATTATTAATGATAAAATTTGATTTTTTATATATATAAAATTAGTATTAGAAATACTGTGTTAAAGTTGCAAGGGAAAAGAGGGAGAAATGACAGGGAGAGATGGGAGAGAGAAAGAGAGTTGGTGAGAAGGGGGAGAGATGAGAGAGGAGGGATTTGAGTTGTAGGTAGGGAGGAACTTGGTCAGCGGAGCATGCGCGAAAAAATAAAAAAAACTTAAGTGTGTGAAGCAATTGACAGCTGTCAGAAGTTAATGGTACTGACGTGGAATGCTTACTTTGGCATACGGTCTGCTCCAGGAAAGCTTTTCTCAGGTAAGGCAGACTAGTCAGACTTCGGAGATAGGATTTGTGCGATGGATGACCCCTAACTAGTCTTTGGTCTTCCCTTGAGTAGATTCCTAATCACTGTACCGGCCCACCAGTGTTGACTAAGTCAATGTGAAAGCAAGTAATTAGGTTTCTATTTGAAGACGTCGTTCCTAACCACAATCATCTTCATCTTAATCTTATATCCCAATTCCCTTGTATTGTTTGTATTCACTCTCCCAACAAAAACCATGGCTGATCTTGCCTATCTATTGGCAACCATACTCATTGAAAAGCTCGGGTCCATTGTTTCTGATGAAATTTCCTTGGCATGGGGCGTTAAAGCTGATCTGCAAAAACTTGAGCAGACAATGTCCATCATCAAAGATGTTCTCTTGGATGCTGAACAGAAGCAAGCTCATAACCAGCAGCTATGCAGTTGGCTACGACAGCTTAAACATGTGTTTCTTGATGCAGAGGATTTGTTGGATGAGTTCGAGTGCGAAACTTTGCGGAGGCAAGTGGTGGAAACATTTCATCCCACAACCGGAAAGGTACGCCGTTTCTTCTCTCGTTCTAATCCAATGGCATTCCGTTCGAGAGTAGGTCATCAAATCAAGGAGATTAAGGAGAGGTTAGATGAGCTCAAGTCCATTAGGGCTATATTTGATTCTCTCACTAGAACTTATCATCATGAGACAGTGAATATGACCCACTCCTTCGTTCGTGCTTCAAAGGTTATTGGTAGAGAGTCTGATAAGAAACAAATTGTAAGTCTTTTGATGCAACAAGGTGATGATGATCAAAGTGGGAATGGGAATGTCTCTGTTATTCCTATTGTGGGGATTGGAGGTTTAGGGAAGACCACACTTGCCAAGTTGGTGTATGATGATGAAAAGGTGGTTGGGCATTTCGAATTGAAGATGTGGGCATATGTTTCTTCTGTGGACTTTGAACTTGCTAGATTGACAAGACTGATTCTTGGTTCTGCATTAGATACAGAGATCAGCGATAAGTTGACTCTGGATCAGCTGCAAGCAAAGCTACGTCATGCTTTAAAGGATAAGAAATTTCTGCTTGTCTTGGATGATGTTTGGAATGATGATCCTATCAAATGGAATGAGTTGAGAGATCTAGTGATAGATGGGGCCAAGTCAGGAAGTAAGATTTTAGTTACGACAAGAAATACATCCGTTGCTAAGATGATGGGTACCATTTCAACAAACATTAATTTGGAATTTCTTTCCTTTGAGGATTGTTTGTCTTTGTTTGTAGAATGTGCTTTTAAAGAGGGATGTGATAAACAATACCCAAGCCTCTTTAAAATAGGAAAAGATATTGTCAGAAAGTGTGGAGGGGTTCCATTGGTGGTGAAAACTTTAGGGAGTCAACTATACTCAAAGACTGATGAACATGAATGGAAAATGGTAAGAGATTCTGAGATATGGGAATTGAAACAAGAAGATGATGGTCACATTTTACGTGCTTTGAGATTGAGTTATACCCAATTGCCTCCTCATTTGAGACAATGTCTTGCTTACTGTTCCCATCTTCGAAAGGATACAATTAGATTTAGTAGTTTAAATTTGATCAGATATTGGATGGCACATGGAATCCTTTATCAATCTCGTGATTATGGGAATACGGAGTTGGAAAACATCGGAGAGCAATATTTTAAGGATTTATGGGCGAGATCCTTCTTTCAAAACGTTGTTGATCATGGTATTTGCTTCACATTTGATATGCATGATCTTATCCATGATCTTGTACAATCAGTTGCAAAAGATGAGTGTTTTACAGTGAAGTCTGTAGACACCAAAGGCATATATAAAAATGTTAGACATTTGACATTTTTGAAAGCTGGCCAAAATGTTTCAACAACCATGCAAAAGTTGAACAAAGTGCGGACTGTAATCGCAGACAGAATAGACATTGATGAATCCTTCCTGTGCACTTGCTTTTCAAGATTCAAGTATTTGCGAGTGCTGCTGTTATGGACAGTATCATTAGAAGTGTTGCCAAGTTCCATTGGTTCCTTGAAACATTTGAGATATCTGGTCTTGTTTTATAATGAAGCAATAACAAAACTCCCTAATGCAATTTGCAAGTTGCAGAGCTTGCAAACTCTAAATCTTGTTGGATGTGTGAATCTTGAAGAGTTGCCTAGAGATATAAGCAAATTGATCAACCTCACAACACTTGGATTTACCACAAAACAAACTAGTTTTACAAAGAATGGGGTGGGATGCTTGGAATCACTTCAGTTTCTTACTATTCATCTATGTAGTAATTTAACCTCTTTGCCACGTGAAACGAGCTATCTTACTGCATTGCGTGCTCTGTGTATATGCAAATGTGAACAACTGGATTTGGAGAACAAAAACTATCAAGGAACTCCATTGAGGCTCCAAAATTTGCATATTATAGATGTACCACGGATGGTGGCACTGCCCAAATGGTTTCAAGGAGCGGCTAACACCCTTCAACTCCTGTGTATTGGCAACTGTGAAAATTTGGAGGCATTACCTGAGTGGTTGGCAAGTTTCACATCACTCACAAAGTTGACCCTTGCTTCATGTCATAAATTGTCATCTCTGCCGGAGGGGATGCGTTCTCTTACCTCCTTAAGAGAACTTGAGATTCAAAATTGTCCTAAATTAGAAAGAAGATGCCAGCGCGACATTGGAGAAGATTGGCCCAAGATTTCTCATGTGCCACATGTTTCCTTTCACTTAGTTGATTCATTTCTCGATATATAATATATGAGAACAAGGTGGGTCCTCTCATGTGTTTGTTTTATACTAATTCCTAGTTTCTTACTTCAGTGTCGCAGTATTTCTTTCTTTCCCTTTGTTTGTTTATTTTCTTGTGTCTGTTAGAGTTTGTAGAGGATAAATACTTTCTAAAGGACACTGCAACTCTGCAGGACTCTATCATCAATTCAAGTCAGTATCCTGTAATTTATTCTGATGTTGTATTGATTTGATAATATATATAAAGTATATTTTGATCTGTTTATTATTATGTTATTTGGTTTTATACTGATTGTTCTCCAACATTATCTGGATTGTGTTTTATTTAGTTTGGATTGTGTCATGCTTGATCAATTTTATTTTATTTTATTCAAGTTGTAGAGTGGATGACCAAAAATAAAACAATTGTCTTTGTAAATAAGTAATTTTACTCTCATCATGAAGGAATCCTTAAAAAAGGGTCATGCAACTACGATGGAGAATTATGCAAGCCACGGAAGTTGAGAGCCAGATCCTCATACTAAAATTTTCATTTTTCAATTTTTTTTTAACCATTCTTTCTCATTCACCAATTACATCACCACATACATTGCACTTCAATTCCAAAATTTGCATATGGGACCTCTTGACTTGGAATTGGCCGGTCAAATCTTGTATTCCCCCATTGACCTAGTTCGAGTCTCGGTACATCTAACTAGTGGCACATCCATGAATTTTTCTTGTTGGGGGCAAAATGTGGAATGACAAAGCATTTAGTTTGAAGAGAAAGATAATAAATTTCTAGAACCCACGCCAAAAGAATTGTATAGACATATGAAATGAAACTAAATTTATATAATTAGAGATATCTACCAATAGCTTTGTCCCTTTTAGATCCATCACTTATTTTTGTCAATAGATTGTCCCCTTCTTATTGTTCACGCCCTAAGTTTTGGGTCATACTAAAGTTACCAGACAATATTGGTTGCCCAAAAGTCAGGATGCGTATATATATAATGGCATGTTTACTAATTGAATTAGGAGGAATTGAATTGAGGATGAGTTGGATTGAGGAGAATTAGATTTTTGATTCATATTGAAGTTGTTTACTAAATCATATGGATTGATGGGAGTTAGATTCCGAATCCCTCTTGAAGTTGTTAAATAAATCATATGGAATTGGAGTAAGAGTGGTACTAATTACTAAAATGACCTTCTTGTTGGGTTAGATGGCAAATTTGGAATTTTTAAAATTGTGTGAGGATTTAATGGGTAAAAATGATGAATTTCTAATGGATTAGTTCTCTAGGAATTAGAATATCATCTCCCACCCAAGAATTGTATTCCTCCAAAATCAGGAATTCAATTCCTAATTTTGTGTGGGCCCTACTTATTTTTTAATTCCTTGATGTGAAGTAAACACATGAATCATCCATAGGTGGAATTCAATTCTTGATTATTAAGCATACAATAAATGTCATGTTAACTGTTTTTAAATTTGAGTAGGAGAAGCAGACCTCGATTAAGCTAGCTGGCTATTGCAATGAGCTTGCCTCCTTGCGCCCAAATTTGAATATCTCTTTTCGTAGAGTAAATTCATACATAAATATATATATATATATATATACATAATTATTTTTATAATACAAGCGATAATCTAAACTGCTTGGGAAGGGGGGCATAACACACACACACACTATCAAGACATCATGGAGATCAAACCTAAGACCACTGGCAAAGCTGCAAAAATGAGGCCACAACAAATAAAATTTCTGAACTCACCCTTGCCAAATGGCAAGGGTTGAGCAAAGAGAAAACCCCCCCCCCCAAAAAAAAAAAAAAAAAAAAAAAAAAAAAAAAAAAAAAAAAAAAACCCTTCCTTCCTAGCCAGCTCGTGCGGCCCAGCCTCGTTGACAAAGACCAAGCTCAAGGAAGCCCGATCTCAACTGACTTCAGAACCCACCAAAACCTAAAATTAGACCGATGCCTAAGACCCCAATACTGTCAGCGAGGCTTCAAAATTTCTCAAGCCACCCTTGCCGAACGGCAAGGGCCGTGAACAGGAAAATATGTCAAAACTCTTCCAAGTCTTGCCGAAGATGGAAGCCCTGTTCGCAAAGGATCTTCCCCTTGCCAACAACCAAATAAGCTCAACCCCTTCTAAGCACCATTGCCGAACGACAAGGGCCTTGTTGAACTACAAGCTTGCCCACGAAAATCTCCCTATGCCGGAGACACAACGAGAGGCCTCTAAAAATCTCCAATCAACCATTGTTGTTCGGCAATGGATGACCAAAAGTTGATAAGGGCAACTCCCGATCCAAGAACGAACTCTTGGCGATCCAAAGCTTTGAGACGGCACTCTAAGATTTTTGAAAATCACGAAAAATATTGGTCACCGAAGCTTGCCCCCAGCTCCGAGTCACACCGAGCCCAAGTCACCACTTAGTCGAACGACAGCACGTCGTGAACCTGTTGTGGCCTCCAATGCCCCTTTCCAAATAGACCTTGCCGAACGGTAGGTCTCATGTAGAGAGAAACTCGAACTCCCCTTCTAAAAATCCTTACCGATCGACAATTGTGCTAAACATGGACAAGTGTTCGATAATCTTCTCCTTCACGAATCTTGCGAAACGGCACTCTCTCATTGCCAAGGCATAAAATCCTAGCCAAATGGACCCTTCTAGAGGCCCAGCTCCATGAATTGCCACACCACTCTCCTTGTCGAAACCCAGCTCAAAATTATGCCAAAACTCTAAAAGGCCCAAAGCCCGGCACTTTTCTGAACAAGCTCAAGCCCAAAGGCCCAGCTCCAACTAAAGCTCAGCTCCAACTCCTAAGGCCAAGCTTCGTACACAAGCTTGGAGGCCCAAGGAGTTGCGCCGTGCCTCGTTTTTACCAAAGGCCCGAACCCAACCTCCTTCCAAGAAAGATCTTGCTGAACACAAAGGGAATAAAAATAAGTAAATAAGCTATTATTATTATTATTATTTCTTAAAATAATAATAATAAAATGCACATATGCATTTCTTCGCTTCAGCACCCTCGTGCCTTCGGCATCTCCTTTGCCTTCGGTACCCCCGTGTCTAACCACATTGCCTTGCAACATGCAAGCTCTGTGTCGCCTTCGGCATTCCTTCACCTTCGGCACCCACATACCTAGGCACATCGCTTTGCGACATGCAAGCTTTGTGTCTCCTTTAGCACCCTCGTGCCCAGCCATATCACCTTACAACATGCAAGCTTTGTGTCGCCTCTGGCACCCTCGTGCCTAGCCATATCTTGTGTTGCCTTCGGCACCCTCGTGCCTAGCCACATCGCCTTGCGACATGCAAGCTTTGTGCCTTAGGCACCCCTTTGCCTAGCCACATTGTGTTGCGACATGCAAGCTTTATGTCACCTTCGGCACCCTCGTGCCTAGGCACATCGCCTTGCGACATGCAAGTTTTGTGCCTTTGGCATCCTCTTTGCTTTCGGCACCCCCATGCCTAGCCACATCGCCTTGCGATATGCAAGCTTTGTGTCACCTTCGGCACCTTCGTGCCTAGGCACATCGCCTTGTGACATGCAAGTTTTGTGTCTTCGACATCCCCTTTGCCTTCGGCACTCCCGTTCCTAACTACGTTGCCTTGCAAACATGCAAATTTTGTATTGCCTTCAGCACCCTCATGCCTAGGCATATCATCTTGCGACATGTAAACTTTGTGACCCTTCGGCATCCCCTTTGCCTTCGGCACCCTCATGCCTAAGCACATCGCTTTGCAAACATGCAAGCTTTGTGTCACCTTTGGCACCCCTGTGCCTAAGCACATCGTCTTGCAAGCATGCAAGTTTTATGTCACCTTCGGCACCCTCGTGCCTAGGCCCATCGCCTTGCGACATGTAATTCTTATGCCTTCGGCACCCTCGTGCCCAGCCACATCACCCTACGGCATGCAACTTTGTGCCTTCGACAACCCCTTCACCTTCGACACCCTCGTGCCAAGTTCTCTCCCTTCCAAATATCATTCTTACCCGATGACTTTGGGGACTATGGGCAGTGCACTATACAGCTTGGAAGATGAACTATGGTGTCGCTCGACCAGTGCACTTAAAATTACAAGTCCCCAATCAAGAAGTACCTTCTTACTCGCGAACTTGGGGGACTACTGTTGGTACCGTAACTGACCGAGCAACTAGCTAGGCTAGATCATCCACGTGCCATGTCTTGAGAGGTCATCACCTTAGCCAAATAAGCATTACCACAAGTCACAACTCCAAGCAAAGCAAGAGGAGTCCTACATCGGAAAACTACAAGAGATGGAGACTTCCCCTCACCTATAAAAGAATACCATTCTCCACTTAGAAAAGGGTCTTGGATCTAGACCCTTGCCTTGGACTCTCTTCTAGATCCCAAGATTGGGCTGGGCTTCTCACTTGATTATCTTTATATTTGGGTCCAACCTCTTGTACAAATGTAAACATACATTATTATAATAAGAACATACTTCTCCGTGGATGTAGGCCATTCATTAAGGGTGAACCACGTATATCTTGTCTTCTTTATATTTATCGCTTGCCTAAATCTTCACACATATGCTGAAGGTCTTCACCTTCACCCATCATCCATTATTCTACCTTTATCTAAGTTGACCCTCCCAAAAGAAGCATCAACAATGATCATCATGAAAGAGTGAATTTGACCCACTCATTCGTTCATGCTTCAAAGGTTATTGGTAGAGAGTCTCAGAAGAAACAAATTGTAAATCTTCTGATGTAACACGGTGGTGATGCTCAAATTAGTAGTGAGAGTGTCTCTGTCATTCCTATAGTGGGGATTGGAGGTTTAGGGAAAACCACACTTGCCAAGTTGGTGTACGATGATGAAAGGGTCGTTGGGCATTTCAATTTGAGGATGTGGGCATCTATTTCAGTGGACTTTGAAATTACTAGATTGATAAGACTGATTCTTGGTTCTGCATTGGATATAAAGATCAGTGATAAATTGACTCTGGATCAGCTGCATGGAAGGCTACGTGAAGCTTTAAAGGATAAGAAATTTCTACTTGTCTTGGATGATGTTTGGAACAAGGATCCTATCAAATGGAGTAAGTTGAGAGATCTAGTGATAGAGGGAGCCAAGTCAGGAAGTAAGATTTTAGTGACGACAAGAAATATCTCAGTTTCTTCGATCATGGGTACCATTCCAACAAACATTAATTTAGAATTTCTTTCTTTTGAGGAGTGCTTGTCATTGTTTGTAGAATGTACTTTTAAAGAGGGGCATGATAAACAATATCCAAACCTCTTTGAAATGGGAAAAGATATTGTCAAAAAGTATGAAGGGGTTCCATTGGCAGTGAAAACTTTAAGGAGTCAACTATACTCAAAGACTGATGAACGAGAATGGAAATTGGTGAGAGATTCTGAGATATGGAAATTAGAAAGGGAAGGTGGTGGTCACATCTTTCCTGCTTTGAAATTGAGTTATACCCAATTGCCTCCTCATTTGAGAAAATGTCTTGCTTATTGTTCCCATCTACGAAAGGATAAGACTCAATTTCATAGTTTTTATTTGATTAGATATTGGATGGCACATGGAATCCTTGATCAGTCTCGTGTTCATAGGAATATGGAGTTGGAAGACATCGGGGAGCTATATTTTAAAGATTTATGGGCGAGATCCTTCTTTCAAAACGTTATTCATTATCATGTTTTCGACACATTTGATATGCATGATCTTATCCGTGATCTGGTACAATCAGTTGCACAAGATGGGTATTTCACAGTGAAGTCTGCAAACACCAAAGACATATCTGAAAATGTTAGACATTTGACATTTTTGGAAGCTGGCCAAAATGTTTCAACAACCTTGCAAAAGTTGAACAAAGTGCGGACTATATAAGTAGAGGAAACAGAGATTGATGAATCCTTCATGTGCACTTGCCTTTCAAGATTCAAATATTTGTGGGTGCTTGAGGTGCTTGACGTACTTGAAGTATCACTATTGCCAAGTTTCATTGGTTCCCTAAAACATTTGAGATATCTGAACTTGGGTTATAATGAAACAATAAAGAAACTCCCCAATGCAATTTGCAGACTACAGAGCTTGCAAACTCTAATTCTTGATGGATATGAGAATCTTGAAGAGTTGCCTAGAGATATAAGCAAATTGATCAGACTCACATCACTTTGCTCAAAGACAAAACAAACAAGTTTTACAACGAATGGGGTGGGATGCTTAAGTTTTGCCAATGAAGGAACCGACAGCTACAATAAAGCACTAGCACAACGGGCGAAAGGTAACAAAATATGTAGGCACACAATTTTGAGCACACTTTCTAACGTGTTGTTTGATATATATTGTTCATACAAAACCGCAAAAAAGATTTGGGAGAATTTGAATAAAAAGTACGTGATCGAAGATGCTGGCACCCAAAAATATGCAATTGGAAATTTCCTACAATTCCAAATGTTGGAGAGCAAAGATGTGTCCTTACAAATTCATGAGTACCACAAGCTTGTCAACGAATTAAAAATGAGGATGTTGTGCAGCTTACAGGTTCCTAGTCATCAAAAGTGATCACAATGTGATGGAAGTGAATACCATAGTGGAAACTAAAAATGCTGATTTCTTCGAGAGTGTTTTCCCTATGAAGGTCATCGTAGAGCCTGTGCCTCGTTCAGTATCAGAATCCAAAATTAATGATAACTTAGAATTTGAAATAAGGAGAAGTAAAAGAGTAAGGAAAGAAACTAATCTTGGAGATGGATTCTACACCTTCTTAGTTGACAATGACCCACAAACCTATAGTGAAGCTATAACGGTACCATATGCACCTTTTTGGAAAGAAGCCATTAACAATGAATTAGAATTGATTCTCTCTAACCATGTTTGGGAATTAGTGGATATGCCTCCAAGAGCTAAAACTTTAGGATGCAAATGGATTTTCAAGAAGAAATTGAAATCAGATGGGTCTATTGATAAATATAAAGCGCGCTTGGTAGCTAAAGGTTACAAGCAACAAAAGGACATAGATTATTTTGATACCTTTGCTCCGGTAACAAAGATTGCCTCAATTAGAGTCTTGATTGCTTTAGCATCCATCTACAATCTTGTTATTCATTAAATGGATGTAAAAACTGCTTTCTTAAATGGTGAATTGGAAGAAGAGATCTATATGGATCAACTGGAAGGCCATGTTGTTGAAGGTAAGGAGCGCAAGGTATGCAAACTTGTAAAATCTTTGTATGGTCTAAAACAGGCTCCCAAGCAGTGGCATGAAAAGTTTGACAAAGTGCTACTTTCTAATGGGTTTCTGATCAATGATGCAAATAAGTGTTTATATTGTAAATCTACTGGTAACTCTTGTGTAATTATCTGCTTATATGTTGACGATATGCTTATTATGGGAACTAATCTTGAGATTGTTACAGAGACCAAATCATTTTTAGCATCAAATTTTGATATGAAGGACATGGGTATAACTGATGTGATTCTTGGGTTCAAATTTACAAGAAATTCTGATGGCATTTGTCTATCTCAAGAACATTACAATGAGAAGATTTTGAGGAAATTTGGATACTATAATTGTAATCATCTTTCTACACTTTATGATGCAACTACCCAATTAAAGAAAAACAAAGGTAAAAGTGTATCGCAGTTTGAATATGCTCAAATCATTGGTAGTTTAATGTACTTGATGAATTGTACCCGACCTGATATTGCTTATGCAGTTGGGAGGTTGAGCAGATACACTCAAAGTCCAAATAAGGAACATTGGATTGCCATATCAAGAGTATTGAAATATTTGAGAGACACAATGAACTTTGGATTGAAATATAGTGGATTTCCCGCTGTACTTGAAGGAAATAGTGATGCTAATTGGATATCTGATTCAGATGAGATGAAATCCACAAGTGGGTGTGTGTTTACAATTGGTGGAGGTGCATTGTCTTGGAAATCTTCTACATAAGAAATTAGTGTTTAAGTTCTTATAAATTACATGACTGCCATTGATCAACTTAAAAAACAAGACCAACACAAAAAACTTATATAGCACCCAAAACTAGCCCAGCCCAATTTTATAAAAAAACCTAAACAATTCATTACAAACAAAAGGTCTTGAAAACCGTAGTTTCATTAATATGTCATATTAATTAATAATTGTAATGTTCTACACTTTTATTGTCATGTTGATTAATTGTTGTAATGTTCCAGTTTAGGGTAATAACACTGCTCTATCATGTTGATTAATGACTGTAATGTTCTAGTGTAAGGTAATAACACTGTTAGTTTCCTATACATCCTATTTCTAATGCATGTTTACCCCTGTAATGTTCCAGTGTAAGGTAATGACACTGTTAGTTTCCTATGATATCCTATTTCTAATGCATGTCTACCCATGTAATGTTCATGTCTAGGGTAATAACATTGCTAGTTTATTGTCATGTTTATTAACGGTTGTATTGTTCCAATCTAGGGTAATAACACTGCTAGTTTATTGTCATGTTGATTAATGATTGTAATATTCCAGTATAGGGTAATAACAATATTAGTTTCATATGACATACTATTTCTAACGCATATCTACTCATGTAATGTTCCAGTCTAGGGTAATAACACTGCTAGTTTCCTATGACATTCTATGTATAATGCATATCTACCCCTATAATGTTCTAGTCTAGGGTAATAACATCGCTATTTCCTATGACATCATATTTCTAATGCATGTTTACCCCTATAATGTTCCAGTCTATAGTAATAACACTGCTAGTTTACTATCATGTTGATTAATACTTGCCATGTTGCTATTTCTAATCCATGTCCACTAAAGAAAAGATGAAGAAAAAACAAACCAAACCAACTCAAAACAAGCTGAGCCCAGATTGTTAATACTATTATGTCATAGAAGTATATTGTTAATACTCTGTCATAGAAGTACATTGTTAATACTCTGTCACAGAAGTACATTGTTAAATAAAAATGAGATTCATAACTGAAATAGTAACAAAAGTTGAATCGATCATCAAAGCTTAAAATACATTTCGAAAATCAACTAAAATCCGAAAAGAAACACATAATTGAAGCAAAAGATCAAAAATCTCAAGTCCAAACCAAACAATGACGACGACGATAACAACAATGACGATGTGGCGAAAGAGGAGTAGAGCTAAAAGCATCTGATCGAGGTTTATTCGAGGTCTTGAACAATCCGAAAAAAGAAAAAATCAATAGAATCACAATTTTAGAACAAGAAATCGAATGTGAAATATTGAAAATTGTATATTAAAGATGAAGAATATAGTTGAACCTGAGACTGAGCTTCAATGGAAGCTCCTCTTGCTCTAACACCAAAGAAAACACCAGCGAGAGAGGAGAAAATAAATCTAATTTGGTTTTTTTTGGCAGATCTAGGCATATTTGGTTTTATGGCATATCTGGGCAGATCTGATTTTCCTCTCTTAGATCCATAGTACAAGGACAATATAGGTATTTAACACACACAAATAAACTAAAAAACAAATATTAAATTAAAAAAATTGACAAGTGTTTATAGTTTTTAAATGGTGTAGGGTTTCTTTATAAAACTATGTCTAATGTTGGGTATATAACTAAATTTCTATATATAATACAACAATTTTGACGAAGATGAGTTGAAGATGAACTCAATGTTAGAGCTCACAATATCATTACAATTATGAAATTATACTTAATGCTTTTGGAATAAGTCACAAAATTTTCAACATCAACAATTTCCAACATGAAAGAAAAGAAAGATACAAATTAATCATATTCAATTTCTTGTATGTGAAAAAACTCAAATCACAATGGGTTTCTTTTCAGCAGAAATCCTCAAAACAAATTGACATTTTTTAATACTCACCTTGACTTAAAGATCCACCAATTGATATCCACCAGTCAAGCCGTTGTTCGAACTAAGAAACCCAACTGAAGAAGAGATAGCAACAATGGAACAACGAGTGAGAGTGCTAACAAGAAGAAGAGAGAGTTGTCGTTGCCAAACTTTTATACTCCTTTAAATCCTAGTTGAATATCTCAGAATTTTTAAACTCATTTGAAATCCTTTAAAATCCACCTAGGTAAATAAAATGGGCCTATGTGGGCTCTTAAAGGACAAGGGACGCACCTAGCTTGGGCCCTCTCAACGATGACGTGGAGTAAACAGGGCCTCCCACAAGTGTATTTCTTCGCTTTGGAAGTTCCAATAGCAGCCTCATTTGCCAAATCTCCTCTTTATCTCTCTCCCTGAGCCTGAGCAACTGTGAGCGAGCACAGAGTGAGGAGTGAGAGAGAGGCATGGAGATGGCAACCTGCAGCTTCCACAGCTCCTCCTTCACCCTCCCTAACTCTAACTCTAACCCTCGAACCAACCTTTCCTCTCCTCTTCCACTCTCCAAGCAACTCTTCGGTTTCAGCTTACCTTCTTCTTCAACCGCCAAAACCACCACACTCAAACTCCGTACCCGAAACCCAAAACCCTTCTCCACTCACCCACCAATCAAATGCTCCGTTTCTGAAGCCACCGAAGCCGCCACCGCAGGTACTTTCACCTCTTCTTCTTCACTTGCAATCCTTCATTTCTATGTCTCTGTTCTTTCCTGTTTACTGCAGCAATTCTTTACGTTTCATTTTAGTCACATAGAAGTTTCTTGCTTCTTTCTTGTGTGTGTGTGTGTGTTGGTTGGATTAAGTTTGGTCTAATTAGGAACTGAGTTATTGTTAGAGAAGAAATGTGTTTAAGTCTGTGTTTAGAAAAGTTGGTCTAATTGGGAATTTTGGGTTATTGTATTAGAAAGGAGGAGAAAGTTGATGAGGAGAAGTGACATAAGGAATATAGCAATTGTGGCGCATGTTGATCATGGAAAGACAACTTTGGTTGATGCAATGTTGAGGCAATCAAAGGTAGAATTTTTTTCATTTCTATATGATTTAAGTTGGTCATTTCTAAATTCCAAATGAGATTGATAGGGCTTTTCTGCAGGTGTTTCGCGATAACCAATTTGTTCAGGAAAGGATAATGGACTCAAATGATATAGAGCGTGAAAGGGGAATTACTATACTAAGCAAAAATACATCTATTACGTATAAAGATTCAAAGATTAATATAATTGATACCCCTGGCCATTCTGACTTTGGAGGCGAAGTCGAACGGATCCTCAATATGGTGGAAGGGATTCTTCTAGTGGTACCCTTTTGTACCTTCTGTTGCTTTGGCATGTAATCCTTTCCTATGGTGCTTGCTTGTCATCATTTGCTTGCTCTTTCTCTCTTTGTAGGTAGATTCTGTTGAAGGCCCAATGCCGCAGACAAGATTTGTTTTGAAGAAGGCTCTAGAATTTGGCCATGCTGTTGTTGTTGTTGTCAATAAGATTGATAGGCCTTCAGCTCGTCCAGATTTTGTCATCAATTCCACTTTTGAACTCTTTATTGAATTAAATGCGACTGATGAACAGGTAACTAAATGTTTAAGGAGTGGCATACATAGAATTCACATTACTGGTTGATTTTGGTCATTTGGAATTCTGTTTCGTTTCTCAAACCTGGTCCTGTATTGGAAACCTAATGCCTTTGAATCGATATATCGTGAAAAGGCATCTTGGACTACTTGGAATTAGTTTGTGGTTGCTATGGGATATAATGGCAAGGAATTTCCTTCTAAAACCTGTTTGAAATGTTGATCACATTAGGAAAGCTACAAAGTGATCTATCCGTGACATCGCCTCTTTATATTAATTGTCTTGTCTATGAAGCTTTTGGATTGCACTGCTGCTTCAATGTTAAATGCATGTAAAAGTCTAACCTCATTCCTACATTCATTTTACCTGTAGTGTGATTTCCAAGCAATATATGCTAGTGGGATTAAAGGAAAGGCAGGGTTGTCAGCAGATAATTTGGCAGATGATCTTGGGCCCCTTTTTGAGAGCATAATGAGATGCATACCTGGACCTGCTATCGACAAAGATGGTTCACTGCAAATGCTTGTTAGTGGTTTTTCTTTAATGTCATCATTCTTTCTCTTTTTATTTTATAATGCTCATTCACTGATCTTGACCTGTCCAATCTGAATGTAACTAGTGCTTTAAATACGTTAAGAAATTTACAGCGAACTATTGCATCAAGAAAGGCTGATCAATATAATGAAACTACAAAGGTCTGCATATAAATACCTGGACGCAGTACACACCATTTCAGTATGAGAGAAGAGTCAAAGGAGGCTCAGACTCTTTTATATCTTCACTAGTTGAAATTGATTAGTGGAAGATGAAGAACAAGACCCTTTTATATTAATCATTCTTGTTTTGTTATACATTATAATTAAATGAATTTTCAATGATGTTTCCTTGCCTTGGCATGTCTCCGTGGGAAAAAGGGTAAAAATGTGCTTTATATGATGGGGAAATAATTACACCCTCAAGATGTCTAGAACATTTGCGAGTAATTGGCCATAACACATAATAAAAATGTACACAACCTTAGGCAATATGAGTTCCTGCTTAAATAATTCTAGAAGTGTGTTCAAGGATTAATTATCAAGTTTCTTATATGCTTTGAGTCCAAGCAAGTCATTTTAATAATAACAATACATTTCAGGAAAAAAAGAAGAAAGTGAATTGCAAGGCTAAAGTTGACTATAATGAATTACTAAATTTCTGTCCCATATTAAAGCGATTCAGTAGAGGGGCGGAGGTTGGGGAAATTGAACTGCACCACAAAAAATTCTTATTTTGTCACATGATATTGTATGGCTTTAAATTGTTACTATACACCTTAGCTCCTCATTTACTTTAACTTTGCTTTGCATGAGCATTGTATAGCTTATTCTGTATTTAATATTTCAGGCTACAAATATCGAGTATGATGAACACAAAGGGCGAATAGCTATTGGACGCTTGCATGCTGGGATTCTGAAGAAGGGGATGGATGTGAAGGTGATTTTGAGCCAAATCTTGAATATGTTCTATGCTACATTCTAGCCTTTTTCTTTTCATTACATGATCTCTGGTTGCTAACATATTAATGCAATGCAAGGATCTATAACTAATTCCCATAAAACCAATGATACTCAGATAGAATTTTGGATTCTTATCCATACCTATGTATTTCCTTTTGGTCTACTGTAGTTTATGTTAATGCTTTGTTAATACATTCATTGGCTACTATACAGAAAAAGAAGCATGTTTCTTAACTTCTGCTTATGGTTCGATTTTTATAGGTATGCACCTCAGAAGATTCATGTCGATTTGCAAGAGTTAGCGAGCTCTTTGTGTATGAGAAGTTCAGTAGGGTTCCTGCAGAAAGTGTGGAGGCTGGTGATATATGTGCTGTTTGTGGAATTAATGATATTCAGGTGACAATTTATTAGTTTTGCTTTGATATATGGCATATGATTTTTATAAAATCTGAGAGATATTTCATGGCTAATTTTAATATTTTTAATTTATTTAGATTGGCGAGACAATTGCTGATAAAACCAATGGGACACCATTACCTGCAATTAAGGTGGAGGAACCAACTGTGAAAATGGCTTTCTCTATAAACACTTCACCATTTGTTGGACGCGAGGTATGTTCTTACATATATGGATGCCTAGATGTTCTTGCACTTCAAATGTGTTGGCGTTAGAAAACCATTATAGGATTGTTTGAATGCATTTTTATTTTTTTGTTAAATTGTGCATAAAAAAACTGAGAGTTAAAATACAAAACCTGAGACCTAATGAGGAGAGTCTACACCTGAAAGTATTAACCCTGTCAGTAATGGAGCAGAAGATATAAGGGGATTCGAGCTTAGCGTCTGGACTTTAAATTGCAATGGATGAGCAATTTTCCATATAACATACATAGGGTAATTCTCCTGCCAGATATTTGGCATATTATGATGTCAGAATGGGAATCCGGCGCCATAGATTCGAACAAGGGTCCATTTAATCATGGTCCATATTGACAGTCTTGCAACATAGCATGCCAAATTATCTGGCAGCATAAGGTGCCCCCTAATCAATCTCTCTTTTTAACATGTCTTTGTGTCAATTAGTGGTGGCACCATATTAAGTGATCAAGGGTTTGTTGTCTTCTTTGGCATTTTGATTGGAAATTGGTTTCCTATATTTCAGGGAAAGTATGTTACAAGTAGGAACTTACGAGATCGTCTTTCTCGTGAGCTTGAGCGTAACTTGGCTATGAAGGTTGAAGATGGTGAAACAGCAGATACCTTCATTGTTAGTGGACGGGGTACTTTACATATTACCATATTGATAGAGAACATGTGAGTACAGTTATTTTGTTGTTATTACATAATCCTATTCTTCTGCATACACAATTTTAAATGGTTATTCAATGTAGGCGAAGAGAAGGGTATGAATTCATGGTGGGACCTCCCAAAGTTATTAACAAAAGGGTGAATGACAAGTTGTTGGAACCATATGAGGTGATTTCTGTTTAAATGTTTTTTTAATGTTTGATGTTTAGGAAAAGGGTGAAAGGTCAATAGCTACGGTTATAGATGAAGACCAATATTTATGCTTCATTTCGAAACAATTTGAATACAAATAAGGCACATGGTGATATTACTTTAAAATAATAATAAATGCAGTATTTATTTCTTAAGAATTGTGATGCCTTGCTTTTTACAAATATAGCACAGATATTTCCAAATGATTCACGTTTCTTTTTGGTCAAAAATGTTCCTGATAAGTTACAAATCATGCTACCACTCTTCTGATATCAGTCATTTGTATCATGTGGATTGCTTGCAGATTGCCACTGTGGAGGTTCCAGAAGAACACATGGGCGCTGTCGTTGAGCTTCTTGGCAAAAGACGGGGGCAGATGTTTGATATGCAAGGGGTTGGGTATGTAGAATTTTTCTGCTTCTATTTTCATTTTTGACTAATCATCTTTTGAATAAATTCAAAGTAATGCATAAAATTAGAACCAAAGGCAATAAACTATGCTTGATTATTACGTAACTGTCTTTATAACTCTACCAATAAAACTGCGTGGCAGCATATTGGTTACAGGTTCAACAGAAGTGTGCATTATGTAAAGGATAGATCTACAGATGTGATATACAGTAAATGCCCAGAAATAAGATTGGTTACCAATCTATATGCATCCGCACATGCAGGTGCAACATTAATGCAACTGAACAGCCCATAATCATGGCAAAAAAAGAAAAAAGAAAAAAGAATACCCAGCCCATAATGAAGACCTCATGAGAGATTATTTCACCAGTAGATATTTGTATAGTACATTTTTTAAGCCATTTCTTGTCAGCTACTCAGGGATATCATTTTCACTCTTTTCCTAAACTGGTGCAGCAACAGTATCAATGTAGATCGCTCTTATGAAGTAATTGGTTTTGAAATTAGTAAGCTATGTAACCAAGAGAAAATTAATGGACTAATATTTTGTTGTCATCTGTTCAATTCCCCCCAAGCGCGCGGGTACTGTGGGGTGTCACAGTGTTATTATATACTCCACTTTTACATCTGTACTTTTACTCTACTTTTGTTGGCAGTTATTGGTTGGATTTGCTGCTTGGTGAATGCAACAGATGTCTGATTATCTGGACTTTTTGTATGTGCTAGGTCGGAAGGCACAACCTTCCTCAAATATAAAATTCCAACTCGTGGCCTTCTTGGTCTGCGAAATGCAATTTTAACAGCTTCTCGTGGCACTGCAATTCTCAACACAATATTTGACAGCTATGGACCTTGGGCTGGTGATATGAGTACCCGGGATCTGGGCTCACTGGTAATTTCTGAGATTGTGGTTATATTTTGAGGTTTTACTTTGTTAGTCCTGGTGGTGGAAAGCCTTTGGCAATGTCTGGTATGGTAGTGACCACAACAGTTGTTATATCACATGCACCCTTTTTGCACATCTAGTGTTGAGAACAAATCATCCAAAAGAGAAGTAAAGATCATATTTGTGCTCTGCACACGTTTGCATGTGTGTTTCCCTTGTGTCAGGATGACTAAATTGAATTGCAATATTTTCAGGTTGCCTTTGAGGGTGGAACGAGTACTTCTTATGCCATTTCTAGTTCACAGGAGAGGGGGCAGTTGTTTATTGGTCCTGGGGTGGAAGTTTATAAAGGTCAGATAGTTGGCATCCATCAGCGGCCTGGGGACTTATCCCTTAATGTGTGTAAGAAGAAGGCTGCAACAAACATCCGTTCCAACAAAGATGTAACAGGTGAGAAGCAACTTTAGTACCTGTTCTACTTCTCTCATGTCTAGGGTAAAAGAGTTCATTCCCTTTCTGATATTGTTAACTTTACATTTCTTAAGTTATGATGTGCTGACCGCGACTGTATATTGGGTGAGGTTGAGCTGTTTTAAGTTAATAACACCGACTTCATCTCACAAAGAAAGAGAAGTTAATAACAAAGACTAAAATGTGTTCGAACATTTCAATTTTGTCTAAACAAATTGTTACTTTAGTGTTTGTAAGCTATTTTGCCCATTTTAACAGTACTTTTAGGTAGACGCAATAATGAATTGTATTCTCTGTGGAGAGCAAGCCATGGATTGAATTTTCATAATATTTAACTTTTGCTCTTCGTGTTTCTAATGTCTGCTCTTTTTCTCAGAACAGAATTATCCCTATATTTATAAGGACATAGGATATTTCTTAAGTTTAATGGGGGTGGTATCGTAATATTGCCAGAACCAGTGTAGGCTTTTTATTAGTTTCTGGAAGGTCTCTCCATGCAGTAGCCTTTTTCTTAGACTAGTAGTTTCTGAATGTCTCTCCATTCTCCGACTTCAATAATCTACTTAGTACTTGATTGCTTACAAAATGGTTGGGTTCACATGTTTTCTTCTCTTTTATAAGTAAATCAATATTTTGAGTTTGTACATTTGCAGCAACAATCCTCAGTTTATGGCAATTAATAATCTAGAATCTCCTTTTCTTTTTTCTTTTTTTTTGTTCCAGTGATTCTTGATACCCCATTGGACTACAGTCTGGATGACTGCATTGAGTATATTCAAGAGGATGAACTGGTGGAGGTTACTCCTTCGAGTATCCGAATGTGCAAAAACCCAAAGTTCTCAAAGAAATCAAACAGGTAGTTTGTAAATATATACCATGCCGGCTGATGAGTATTTGCGAAACTCATCACATATTTGTTGAGTCACTTGAGAAATCAACGATAGAAAGTCACATTGTTAGACATCAACACAGTAAGTCAAGTTTTGCAATATTGGTTGTATATATAAAAGAACAAGACTCAAAATTGTACTACTAGAAGATGTTCACTGATGATGTGAAGACAAGTGGGTTGACGAAGATTTCTGATGTTGAGTTGTAATGAAGACTACAAGTATCAAACATTTAATTGGCCGAAAGACGATAGGTTTTGTTTTACCAAGTAACTGTATCTGCTATTTTAAGCTAATGGAAAAATAATTTTTAGCAAGTGATGCAATATGATTTGTCTTTTTTGAGTTTTGACTGGTTCTTGTTCGAGCTCAGGCCTGCAGTCAGTTGCTTAACAGGTGCGTTATGTCACTCACTCACTCTCCTATTAAAAAATCCCATGTTTGACACTTGACAGAGACAGACCTAAACGTTTTTATTTTTTATTTTTTATTTTTATACTAAAGCTGTTCTTATGTCTTCATATGTTGGGTCGTGAAGAGTGTTACTGCCATTTTGTTTCGGTCTTTCGGAGAAAGTTTTTACAGTCTTAGGGTTAGATTACCAGAAATATGAGGATTGAGTAGACGGATATGAGAGCCTGTTTATGCTCAAGAAAGTTGGATTTGCTTGAGTTAGTTAACTTGAGACCAAAGCAAAGTTCCGGCTTTCATGTTTCTTAGCTTCTTCTGGCCAAGTCAATTAATGGAAGCAGCTGGGTCTATGCTCATTTGGTGTGTCAGTCATCCATGGTAATCATGTGTGTCTAGAACCAAGCTTGGTCCCACACAAGAAATTTTTAGGCCTCTAGAACGAGTCATTAATATCTTTGAATTATATTTTCTTGTTTTGTTTGAAAATATTTTTGAAGTTAAATAGAAGCTTCTGATTCCATTCTTAATAGTAGTATTAATACAGTAGAGGGTCCAAACATAGGTGAGAACAATTTTTATGTTAATCATAAGACCGATGTTTTTAAATAAATAAATGAAGCATTTCGTAACAAGAGGATTAATCCTCCTCCCTCAAAAAAAAAAAAAAAAAAAAAAAAAAAAAAAAGAAGAAGGCCATGGGTGGGTAGGGTAGTGAGTTCGGCCTCTTGTAATCAAGTTTGAATGTACCTCTTCATATATTAGATTATTTAGAGTAATTTAGAATATTTTTTTTGGTTTTATTATTTTATTATTTTGTTGAAAAAAAACAAAGAAATTAATGATAAACGCCTAGAATAAGAGAGGGTCGAATTTCTTTTAACATAAAAATAAAATAAAATAAAAAAGAGGAAAAAAGATTGAAAGTGTGGCTGCTGGGATTCGAGCCCAGGTCTCCACGGCCACAACGTGGAATTCTTACCACTAAACTACAGCCACATTCTTGTTTTAAATTCTTACAAGTACGAGTATGTAAACGCAAATATTAAAAATGGATAATAATTTTTTTTTTCATTAATATATTTTTTAAAAGTGTATCACATATGAAGAGTGGGGACCACAAGAGCAATTAAAAACCAGGTAATTTTCAACTTCAGTTGGTGTTGACCAACAAAAAAAAACTCCAGTAGGTCGTTGACTTTTAGTATTTTATGAAAGTTCTTGTTGGGGATGGCCGGCAAAGCAAACGACCAAAACAGTTCGAGTCTAACAAGAGAGGCTGATTCAACAAAGTCCATTATTGACTTGGTACCAACAATACTTTACACGTACCGCCAACGAAAGTGACTGGTTTTGAAATAAATAAACATATTGGTTGGCAGCATATGACTTGTGACCAATTTTGAAATTTGACATGGCATGGCATTTACTTGGTGTTTCTCTACCCCAAAGTGATTTCCTCCTCTGATACTGTATGCTAAACTGACAAGAATTATAAGTACCACCACATGAAATTTTCAAGAGTTGCGCTTGTGGAAATTTCCAGAAGCATCTCCTTAGAATTGTCATTATTATTTCATCTATAAAAGGAGGAGAAATTTCAAATGTGTGGTTGGGTTTTTTCTTTTTTCAAAGGTATTTTTCATGAGAAAGATAGAATACGTAGCTTAAGCCTTAAGATATAAATGACAAATAGTAGCTTCTACTGTGCTTTCATGCTTCTGACATGTTTATCGTGAATCAAATATGATTATTATGTAATCAAAGGAATTTAGGAATTTCTCGGGACTCTTTTTGTAATTTCGCTTGAAAAACAAAAGATCATTAGCTTCTCATGATCAATAAGGTGCAAGCCACCAAGATTGCAAAAGTTTCAAGTTCCAAGTTTACTTTTTTCACTCAATTTCCATGCTAACCTCATTGAAGTGAGAGTTCAGTCAACAGTGCCAGCATGTTGTAAAAGTGTATAAGAACAAAAGCTTTATATCATTGGATTGGATCCAGGCTTATTTTGGTTGTCTCGTTATTACCCAACCAGAATTCAACCGATACACCTCTTTTTGTGTTTATGCCTATTTCAGGCACTTTATTACTTCTTTCACCTGAAACTTACATTGCTATAGAGAAAATGGTGAGATTCCATTTGGACTTATCTCTCTTTTGGATGGAAGCTCTTTTGTTCATGAGCTCGATATATTTTATCCAACAAAGTAGAGACTAAATACCACGAGATGAAATTATCGTTAGTGACGATTAAAATTGTTCTTTAATAAGATTTGTAGGCCTAAATAGCGGTGGCACTTTGCTTATGCCCCTCCGATGAACAAAGAACAAAAACCCCAAACCCCGTCCATTTTTTTTAAATTGAAATCGACGTCAAGTGCATAAGACTTTATCTTCTATGGTTGAAACTTGAAAAACGTAAATAACACTTGAAAATGGGAGAGAGAAATGAAAAATGCATGTTGAAGATGACCTAAAATGCGACCAATATAAACTTTGTGGGTGCAGCACAATACAAGGCCCCGTTAAATAAACAAGTGACGCGTGGCTTCCGATTGCTTCCATTCCATACAACAATGAATGAAGTGTGGTGCATTGCAACCAACATTTTGGTTAACTTGTCATGAAACCTAACCATTATCTTGGAAATATTGTCAAAGTAACGTTGGCACCGCCCATTAGTAAGCATTTAATTGTATGGTGATCTATTTTGGCTTTCATTATGTTGCCTTTGAAGGTGCATCCTTCCATTCAACTGTATTCATCATTTGGTCTCTATATGTCGTTTGTTGGGCATGTTGGCAATTCAGGATTCAAAAGCCAGTTGGGGCAAAACTTACATACTAAATTTGATGATATGAGTGCATTTCATTAATAAAAACAAAAATATACACCTACTTAGGGGGACATAATGAGTCATGCCCTCAAATGCATCTCTATCCATAAATAAAAGTTCAACAAATACAAAAACTAAAACTAAAACCAAAAGTAAATGCAATGCAACGCAATACAAAATAACACTATTTAAATCTAAAATTTAACCATGCAAGGCTTGGAACTCTTAAAAGATAGCCTATGAATAATATATAGAAAGAATTTTAATCAAACATACCAATAAAAAATCAAACAAATTTTCACAATAGCATCTCAACAATACCAAACCAAAATTTATAATTTTTCCATAATTAAACCATAGAATACTCAATTTTAACAAAATCTCAAATCAAATCCATACAATAATTCATCACTAATCAAAGCCCTAAATAATTTCAACAAAATCCCAAAATTATAATTCATCCTTAATTCCTAAAATACTGAATTTTAAATTAAAACTATAATTAAAGATATATAGCAATGGAGAGAATGAGAATAACACTTACCATTGACAAAAGGAGAGGAGAATACGTTGTTGCCAAGTTGCCCACTCAAAGATAATAGAAGATATAGCCAATAAGGAGAATTTGATCCAAAAAATAAAAGGGAGAAACTTGCTACCGTCGGGTAGTAATGAAAGAAAAGATATGGGACCACCTAGATGGACAACATATGTGTAGGATTTGCTTTTAATTTTTTTAAATTTTGAAATGGGCTTATAACACATGTAGGTAATTTAAAAATAATAATAATAATTTGAGCTGGGTAGGCACCCAACCTGCCTGTGCATAGCACCACCCATTATCAAGGATACAAAAGAATTTTTAGGAGTCGTCACTGCAATATCTTTGTTCATGTTCGTCATAGTACTAATGGTCCGACTCATCATCTAGTTAGATTTTGTTTGCATATCGAGAAAGCTTGTGCTTGCTTTGAGGAGCCTCATGATGTTCTTTTTTAGCATGGTAATCCCTCATGAGTTAATAATATCTATTTTCATTAAATAAAGAACGACTACTAGTAAAACATACGAGGTTAGATGAGCTTTCTAATGAGTCCAAATTAGTAATTAAGCCTAATTATGTGGCTTACTCATCATGCGGCAAAGCCAAACAAAGTATTATTCACAAGTTAAATAAACTCAAACTACACTTCCGTTCAAACCAACTTCTATTAATTAGATCATTAGTTGTAAGTATAACTTGAGTTCATCTAACTTTTTAACAATTTCACTTGTTATCGTAATAAACCGAGTGATAGAATTACACTCATTATCATCACACTAAAATACGACATCATAATAAACCTAACATAATGATCTCAATTCACAAAACACTCTAATAATGCCAATTCTAATTGAATTTATTCGAGATTTTGTCTTCATTGTCTAGCAATTGGTTGTTTACTTTCCTCAGGTATTCCGGCTGGCTCAGGGCTGCTGAGTCCAATTTCAAGCATCAACCAATTGCTCTTCAGTTTTTTTATTTTTATACTCATGGTCTGACAACCAAAATCAAGATAAAATTCTGTGCCTCAACGCCACATAAAAAGAGTCACAGAAATAAAGGAGCACAAAGATTAAAAAAAAATCCACTCAAAGGCTACAAGTTGTGTCCACTTGGCAACTACAAAATTCGACATGTTGTAACCACGAGTCAAAATCGTCATCTTTGACTGGTCACCCA